GCTGATAGGTGCTTCCAGTGTATGCTGTAAGAATTTTATCATATTTCATTCCTAAACCTATCAGCCTTTTTTTAAAAATGGCAAATAAACCATGAAAGGTTAAAAGACCTTCTATACAGTCATGTTTCATAACACTGGAGTAGTGTAAACAGTCTATGCCCTCACACACATACCAGGCCACTTGCTAATTCCGTAAACTTCCACCCATAGAGTGAAGCTAATAGAACTAAATATGAGCATGTATCTCATACGTTTCTGTGCAAAAGTCAGACATCCTTTCCCAAATAACTAATGAAAGTGGGTTTTGCTTATGTGACTGATTTTCCACTGAAGCTTATTAAATAATGTTAATATTTTCTACACTGCTGACTGAGCTGAGGGGCAATAAACCTCCTGGTGACTGGTGGTGATGACCAGTCAGATGTGTAACATTTTCAACTCCTCCACATAGAGTCATTAAGGAACATCTGCCTATGTTGCTGCTTCTAAAAGAGGAACACACTTGCTCCCCTTTAACATTTCTTTCCCCTGAAGGAAAAAAGGGTTCTTAATTGTGTTTTACCAGCAATTAACTTTTTCCTGCATCGGCACTCTCTTCCTCTGTCAGAACTCACAGTATCCAACATGCATACACAAAATTTTGCCAGACTGATTGATTTTTTGACTAACAACCTACTTGACCAGAAATACTGCAATTTAATATGTGCTTCTTACAAAGCTCCCAAATTCCCTACATAGAGTCAGATGAACCCCTAGGGAAATGAGTTTGAGGTTATCTATCTACTTTCATTAAAAACATTCCTCCATTGGAATCCAGGAATTTGTCTCTAAGAAGGGAACAGAACCGTTTTGTGGCTTAGGTAGCTCTCTGACCACCAGCTAATATCACCATCCTAGTTATTTGTATTAGGCTTGGTTCCAGAACTCTAGTCCAGAACAGCAGGTTTGGTTTGAGCCCCACTGGCAGAGGTCTGAAAAGGAGCACTGCTGGGTATCTGCAGCGTATCTGTTTCTTGCCAGCCCTGCCTGCTCTGCCTTTTCAATGAAAGCTGATCCTCTCTCCTCAGCACTCCTCTTGAAGAGTTCATTTGCACTTCTCATCCTATTTCAAGTAAAAAGGACTGTCCTGAGAATCCCTTAGCACATGAAAATCCTGTAATAGCCAATGGATGTTAGAAATCTGTAGCCTGAGGCAGCAGGGAGTGACACCCAAAGTGCCTTATAGAAGTCACCATTCGTTTTAAACTCCATATTATTGCTAAACAGATCAGAAACACAAAGAACAGGCTAGCACAAAACTGCATGCCAAGGGTCCTGTGTCTGATGGAGAAGTCTAACCTTAATTACTGGTACAAAGTCATGCATTCTGCTCCAATCAGAATACACTAACTTCAAGTCCCTATTAATTTGAGTGCACTAGTGTTGCAGAATGGTACCTACCAACTAAATGTGTGATTCGTGTATGTGAATGACAACTACAGATGGACATTCCCATTTGCAAGCAAAATGTTTCTGGTTTAATTTCTGTAAGTTCATAAATTAAAGCATAGCCCATCTGGAAATAGCTGCAATGTTATCCAACTGTAAGGTCAAAATTCAGAAGGCCTAAGCAGCTCTCATCCAAAATCACTAAACTTACCAGGGCTTTTAAACTTTTTACCTGCATCCATGGGAACAAAAAACTTCGGTTTGCACTTTTCAATATACCCTTTTAAAAAATATATGTATTTTTCAAACAAAACCTGGTTGTCCCACATATTAATTTAGCACAGTGAGCTGAGGCTTTAAAAGCAAAACCTAAACATCAATAAAACTCTGCCATGTTTTCATTAGTATACTTCAGATTTGGGCAGACAGATGGCTAATGGTAAACAAGGAACTGTGGTCACTTCTGTCTTAAAATGTCAAGGCCACTTTACTTTTGGGGAAAGAGGAGGGCAGAGCAGAATAGGGAGCCTGACTGAGCTTCCAACATGCTCATTGGTTTTGCTCATTGTGGCAAAACAATGTATGTTCTACATGTCAACAGTGGAAAAAGTCAATTTTTGTGAGAAGGGCCCAGTATCTAAAAATGCTGATAAATGGGCCACAAAAAGCAATAGCTTGCTGTCCAAAGCAAACAAAATATTTCTAAAGGTTTGTATTTTTGCTGCCACAGCCAAAAAGATGCAGAACAGAATAATGCATGACTGAAGGTATGAAAACTGTATTCTACCTCTCTAAAAGCAGAAATAGCAGGGCAGTAGAATGGGAGCAGCTTTCAGGATCTCTGTGTCCTGATGACCTTTCGCAACTCCCTGTACCAACCCATGCCTTACAGTGTAATCAGCACTTCATTCAAGGATGGAAACTCAGTCACCTCACCCAGTTTGGTTCTGCTGTTAATGCCTCTGCACACCCTCCTTTGCTTTTGAACGTAGGAGGCAGCCACTACTGACTATGTAACAAAGAAACAGAAGGTAAGTCAAGCTCTGTATCCTACACCTAATTTAAACATTTTGTATTCATTTCTCCTGGCACAATGCAGAGTGGATGAGTAAATTAGATCATTATCTCCCCATCAGCAAAAATCTAACATCATTGGGACAGGAAGTGGCAGATATATAACAACAGACAGCAGTATTGCATACTAGATTAGAACATAAAAGGAAAGCAATTTAAAACTAGGAGGTATTTTATTATAATTATCCCAACTGTATTAAAGCCAAGAAAACGGTGATTCGAAAGGGAGCTCTCAAAGTTCCTAGGCCAAAATGATTAGAACAAGTTTTCCATATAGCCATTTTTCAGCTAATCTGGTGTCAGATTTTGCTTCTCCAATGTTTGCTGTTGGCACACCATTACTCTACCCAAAATTTAGAAGGGAAATCTTATGATTAGAATTCCAATTCTGCCATGAGTTCTCTGTAAGTATAGCGTTATTGCAGAGTAAATTGGTTCCTAAAGGCCACACTCCAAAACAGAATGATTTGCTTTTCAGAAGTACTTTTTTGAGCTTCAGGTATAAATCATCTTTATTTCAGATGACTGAAAAGTATCCAGAGGGAAAATTCTATTAAAAGTTAAGAAAACACTCCATCTACATCTTAACGGTAGAGATTTAGGAAAAGCATCTGAAAAACATACTGCAATCAAATTTTGCCATGATACTTTGCACTGGGGTGATTTCTCTCCCCCCCCTTTGCTGCTAAAATAGCAGAACTTTCTTCCCCAACCCAAGGACAAGCTTTATAAAGTAAACTAAGGGTTTTCAGAAAGGAATGAGATATTTTTTTCCTCAAAATGTAGTTGAAATCAGAGAGACTTTAAAAAGAATCACTTTATAGGAAAAGGAAAGCACAGAAATCTCTACAGAAAATTAGTTTAGCTTGAGAGTTGAAAATTTTGAACAAGTGTTTCTTTGCACAGATCTCATCAATATGCTCCAAGTCTGCTGTTGATCACCCAGAAAGAGGGAGCTGGTGATTCCTCAACTCTTGTTACTGTGAAGTATAATCTAGCAATTAGAGACCCATCTATTGCTTTGCTATTAGCAAAGGCAATACTGTTTGTTTTTTTTTTTTTTTAGTGATACTTATGGAAAAATCTTCCTTAGTGTGCAAAATTGATCAAAGATAGCAAGTGAGTACCAGACCAAAAACAAGGGAACAACTCAAGACATCTTAATCTAATTTACAGTCACCTTCCATGTACATTTATTTCACTGTGGTTGAGGAATCAGGAACATTATCAATGAACAGAAAGTGCTTCTCTCTAAGAATTTTTACAGACTTGTTCAAACGTATCTGTGTTCAAAATAATAATAGTAACAATAACAACAATAATAATACATTGATATATGGTAAGTAATGTGTGCATTTATGGCCAAAAAGTAAGGATCATAAAAGTGATCTCATATATATATATATATATATATATATATATATATATATATATGTAGACAAACATACAAACAAACCACCAGTAAAGTAAGTATTAATATAGTGCAGTACGTATAATATAGCAAGTATACATGTATATATAGGTAGCATTTGTGTATGTATTCATACACGATATACTTTATCACATGCAGGCATCACTAGATGGGAATACCGGCACTGTAACTAGTAAGCCATTCTAATTTGAACATCTTAATGATTTCCTATTGTTTGACCTGTATTTGTAGTCAGTGATTTTTCACTGTCAGCGTTCTTTCATTGCTAAAATATCTTTACCAGTTGCAGTGAGGTTACAGAACCTGTAAAAACTGTATTAGTAAACCAGGGTAGGAAATAGATTTTTCTCCCTGACAAAGGTGCAGCATAAAAATAGGTTAAAAGATAACTGCCACCTCCTACAGATTTTATCTTATTTATTACCAGGGTAAGGAAAACGTTCAAAATATTTTTGCAGTGTAGCTCGGTACTGACTAAAAGTTTTACTGCAATACACTACGTAATTTAGTCCTGCCTCTTCCAACTCCTGTCAACGAACGTCATTTAAAGTATCTCTACTTTTATGCACATCAGAAACAATTAAGTATAAGACAACAAGTAATATTCTACTTTAGCAGCACAGTTCGGCTGCAGCTTTGCAACCATATTACTCGAGAACCTATAAAATGCAAATGAATTGCCGTTTTCTTAGTTGGGGGGGGGGGGGGGGGGGGGAAGCGGATACTATCAATCCCTCCGAGCGGCATACAAACCAACCCGATGTTACCGCAGAGCTTGAGCTCTTCTCGCTATTGTTGCACGCTAATTAGAGCGGTTAAGGGCGAGACGTCGATCGGCACCCACCAAGGTAACCCTCTAAGGTTTGGTCCGTAGCACCCGCGGGGGACCCGGCTAAAAGGAGGTTTGTGCACACCGATGTTTTCAGCAACCGCCTTTCAAGAGAGGACCGGTTTCCCTTCCCTCCCCTGGGACAGGGGCTGTCAGAGGAGGCAGCTCCGAGCCAGCCCCGTCGCCCCGGCCAGGGCAGCCTCACCTCCCTGGGAAAGCTGCAACAGAGCGACTTACCTTAGTGAGCTGGGCAATCTTCTTGCACATTTTCATGTGCATTTCTTGACTGCATTCATTCCTCTGCCGAGCTGCTGCGAGCGGCTTTAGATCCATTGCAAGTCCCGGTCTGATGAACCTTGTTTATGCCAGAGGCCATTTAGGCTTGAAATATTTGAATCAAGTCTGTGTGTGTACCCTCGGGGTAGCGCGACCCCGTCTCCGCTGCCGCCCCGGCGGGCTGCAGGCGCCCAGCCCCCCGGAGCGCCGGGGGAACGGCAGCCCCGAGCAGGGCGAGCCCCAGCCGCCGCCCCCCGCCCCCCGCTGATGTCCCGGCCCTTCAGCGCGACACCCAGCCGAGGAGGCAGAGAGCAGCATGTGCGAACGTCCTGATTGGGACTTTTTTTTTTTTTTTTTTCCCCCTCCCTTCCTCTTCAAATGGTTAAGCTTCCGCCGGGAGACGATGCCAGCGGCTGGATGCTACAAATTCCCCACGGGAAATGCTGAGCGAGTCGTACAGGCAGCAGCACAGGCGTTGCTGGGGATCCGTTATAGAGATCGTCTGCAGATTAAATCACGTTGCCTTCCTGGGCTGTCGAAGGACTGCAGAGGTCGTCAGAAAAGATGGTGTTGGCACCTTTCATAAAGTCTGTTAATTTGGCAATCCTCTCAAAATCTGAATGGACCAATGATGTGATGAAGAAAACCTCGTTCAATTTTTGCTGTTGCACTGAAAGCAGAACGGAGCGGTTCTTCCAGCTAAGCGGCACCCTCGCACTGAGCTGAGCCCGAGAGCAGCGCCCGGGATCCGCTCCGCCCGCCTTACCCACACACTGCTCTGATCCCTGCAGGTACGCTAAAGGCATGGGAAAGGTGCCAGAAGAAAACCGACAATATTACAGGTTTTGGTTTGGTTTTGGTTTGTTTTTTTTTTTTGTTTTTTTTTTTCATCTGCAAGCCATTCACTCTCTTCAAAGAGACCAGGCTTGCACATGTAAAAATAAAAAAGGGTAGAAAAGGCAGAAAAAAAGGCACAAAAAAAAAGGCAAGCTATGGAGATAATGAGGTTTTTAAAGAAGAATGCTTCAGGAAAGTGTTATGCAAAGAAGAAAATGGTTAGTAGGCATGTTTAAACAATTCTAGAAGAGAAAGGGGAAGGAGGAGAAGGCAAAGTAGGGTGCAGTCAGAGAGGTGAAGAGGAAAAGGGAGGAAGAACAGGGAAGAGCCTGGGAGCTGCTCAATACCCCTTTGAGGTGTCACTGCAGCCAGCCCGGTGACCGCCAGCCGGGGGGACGGGAGGCTGCTTCTTCCCCACGCAGGAAAGGCAGCTTTCCTGTCTCGCCTCCAGGCAGGACTTTCTGTCCTTCTTGGGCAAGACGCTTCCACTTTGCTAATGCTGGGTTTGAAAAAGAGCTTCCCCTGGGACTGTCAGAACAGGGAAGGGGGATTATCTGGTGTCAGCTAAGGGCAGGTCGAAAGGAAAAAGGGAAAATCCTTGGTGAGGGCAAAAAGAGCTAAAGTACTGTCAATAAACACTCCAAGAGGAAAAAGATCAGGGTAGAAGAAGAATGCCTGCATCAGTGGAGAGGAGGAGTGAGAAGATGTAAGAAGAGAAAACCTTGGGACAGAGAAACCTAACCCTTTAATTGCTGGGAGGAAAGGTGGGACTCAATCTCAGGAGGCAGAAAGACTCTTCACTCTAGGAGTGAGAGGAAATGAAGACGGACTGAGAAATGCAGCCTAGGAGAAGGGAAAGGTTAGGAAGGAAAATGAAGGTGGTCTCAGTTGTTGGGAGATGCTAAGCAGGGAAGAGAAGTTTAGCCCAGACAGAACATTAACAAGAAAAGGTAAGAAACAAAGTCTTGCACACAGGAATGACTAAGTATAGTTTCCTCACACACTGGCATTAGTGTCCAAGATGCCACTGCCTGAAACTTTTTTTATGACTAGCGCATAAGGACGTGCCATTGTTAATTGTCCAGTATCTGATAAGACATGTACTCAAGTTTAATTCAGTTAACATGGTTATAATGTATTTTCCCCGGAAGGGTTCAAGGCCAGGTTGGACGGGGCTTTGAGCAACCTGATCTAGTGGCAGGTGTCCCTGCCCGTGGCTGGGGGGTCGCAACTAGAAGATCTTTAAGGACCCTAACAACCTAACCCATTCTAGGATTTTATGATTCTCTACATGGTCATCAATTTGAGGGAAAAATCTGTAGGAACTTAATTATATGTAAAATTGACAAGCTCATTAAGACAAACGAGAACACAAAGGGCTGGAGCAATTTCCTAGCACCTTGTTTCCTAAGAAAAAGAGTAAAACTGAGTGAAAATAGAAAGCAAATTAAGAGAAATACAAAAGGTTTTAGAACTACTTACAGTAAGTTACCTGGGTTATGACCCTACTAGATGGATAGTAACATTCTTTTTTTTTTTTTTTTTTTTTCTACTGAACAGCAGAGGACACACTGGCCCTGAACGTATGGCTGGACAGACTTGAGACACTTACATAGGCACAGAGAGAGCACAGTAGCACAGATCTTCAGGTACACTGGGAAAGGAATAAACCACTGAGATATTTTCAAGCAGGCTCTTTATGTGTTTTGGGGGCTTAGACAGAAAAACTTGAGGTTTTGGTACAAGATGTTTTAGCAGAGCATAACTTGTCACTGGTAAAATATTCTGAGTCCAGACAAGATCTGTCAGTCACTACTTCAAACACTGGAAAAGCTTCAATCAGATCTCCTGCACTAGCAAATGCAACCACAGAACATAAATTCACAGGTAACCTAAGTTTCACTACTCAAAAACCTCTCTTGGTTTCAATAACAGAATTTCAGCAGATAATGACAGTTTTCAATTAGAATTTGACCTGTTTTTTTTTTTTCTTCTTATTGATCTAGGGATCACCTATAGATAAGATGACAATGCAAGAACGTCACAAAGCATAGTTTAAGTGTGTACTATACAATGGGGGTTTTGCGAGAACCACATGGAACACATAAGCAGATTAGAGAATGTTTATGAACTTGGTGCAATACATGGCAAAGACAGTTTCAAATAAAAATTAAAAGTCTAACCAGAAAACACACACCTACACTTCTGCCTGAATTATTATTGCTGCATTACTTTTAAGTAAATTGTAAGAGGAGATCATGTCACCACAGTCTTCGTAATTCTATGAGTAAGTGTGCACAGGTTTATAGCTTTACTGCTCAGATACATTAGCTAATTTCCTTGTTATTATAAAAAATAATATGACTAAACATATGACTAAAAGACTATAAGCCTTCCCTTTTTGGCACCTCCTGCTTGTTGAATATGCAGACCATACAGTTTCTGAAATCTTCAGACTAGCTACTATCAAAGGATCCACACCTCCCAAATTCTAAGACATAAAGAAGATATTTCTATTGCAGATGTTTAATACATAAGTTTATGCTTTTGTTTAACATATTACAGCTTTTTAAAAACACAATTAATATAGAGCCTACTTCAACCACTCTTTAACCAAATACCAGTGCTACTGAAGTAAGTGGGCTTTACTTAGTTTTTTTAAATACATGAGGGCAAAGTTAAACTGATCCCCCAGATTACACTCTACTGTTCTGCAGTCCGATAAAATTTGCATTTGAAAATAATGGAACAATAGTGTTAGTCATTAACTGTCACAGTATGCTTCAAATTACAAAGCTGTAACAATAAAATGGATTTAAAACTTCTCAAGTTAGTGTCTCAACAAAGGAACATGCATCCTTAAGTGAGATTCTAATTTAATTAATAAATCACTATCCTCATTATTGATCTCCATTTAAATTAATTTTGGTCTCAGAGTAGCTTTTTGACCCCAGAACACAGAGTTCAGGGACTGGGTTTTTTTTTTCCCTTCTCACAGAAGAAAAAAAAAAAAAAAAAGGAAATAAGGATAATAAGTAGTAGTCAGCAGACTCTTAAGAGCAGTTATCCTGCTCACCTAATTCACTATCCTACTTTGGATAAAGCTTGTTTTGGGATTCAATGCAAGAAAAGGACAAGTATGTAGTGGTTCTACCACTGGTACATATATGTATTATCTATAATTATATAAATATAAAAAATATTCTATGTAACTACTTCATAACTTTCATTCCTTCCCACCTCATAAAGCAAAGAGGATTTGAGAGTCCAATTCAAAAACCACCAGAAGTGCTACTGATTTCCTCACTGACTGAAAACAGTAACTATTCAAAAATGTATATACAATTTTATAGCTGACTTACATATACACAAGTGTTGGAGGAATGTGGTGAACAGAACCTCTGATTACTACTGCATAATGATAGCCCAATTACGGATGAAATATTATTGTGCTTATAAAAACTGGAACTAATCAGATGCATCAGCTATAAAAGCTGTTGAACACCTACTGAACAAGATAGCAACAACTTTCCTCTTTTTAACCAGTGATCTACATCTAAAATTACAACAAAATAACTGGCCGCAAGTTTGGCTTACCCTGTGGCACTGTGTACTTGCTCCCACAGCAGGACTGACAGAAGAAAGGATCTAGAACAGTGGGTCAGAAGTAGACAGGGACAACCAGAAGTAGACCACAGCATAGCAGGTAAGTCACTATTTCAAAGCACAAGGAAAAAAAGCTTGAATTTTTAGAGCCCATTTCCTCCAGAGCCTGCAGCACCGTCCAAGGTTCTGAAAAAACTGTGAAACCCACTGGCCATTGCGGGCGACGGAGGAACGACACGCCCAGACGGACTCAATGTGGGTGATAGAGCATCATATATCGTATCCTTTATTAGTCCAGGGTACATATATTTATACAGACGCTAATTATTATGCCTACTAGTCACTAGCTGATTGGCTTAAGCTCTAAAGGTCGTATTCGCACGGTCCACCTACTTGCAGTTAGCTAACAGCACAAGCTTCTCATAACACTAAGTTTCTCAGGCCACTATTTCTAATTCCTCTGAACCTGTTTTCGACACACCACAGTACACAAGGCCGAGGCGTCCTTGACATTCTTCATGTATCAGCAGCTGCGAGCAGCTGCAGGCAAACCCTAGTGAGGCCCAGCATCAGCGAGGCCCAGCATCAGCCCCTAGAACAGGCTCTGATCATACAACTGCTCGGTGGGCTCAGGACCCTTGTCTCTGAGCCATTCTCCAACAGGCCATGACTTCTGGGCCTGTGCTGCTGGTGAGGTCCTTGTCCTCCCAGTTAGCCATTGCGTTCACCCCTCAGGAACTGGCTGGCCCTTACCGAGCCCTGTGAGTTAGCTCAGCAGAAGCCTGAAGGCCCAGGACTGAGCTGAAATGGGGTTCCTGGGCCCGTGGCCAAGGGCCCCAGGTAAGGCTGGTCAGGGGCCATTAAGGCTTATTAGTGCAGTCAAGGCCCTGAAAAATAACCTGTAAAATCTATGAGAGCAAACACTTCTATCAGCTGAACAAAGTGTCTGGTATCACAGGGAGACTGTTACACTCTATGTGGAGCAAAGTCTAAATGGCTAACATTTGTGATCCTACGTCAGCATGTCATATACCTAACACATGAAATACCAATTATGATACTGGGAATCTGGATCCCTGTGGCATATTCACCCCGAAAGCCAGTATGTCCAACTGGGTTAGAATTAAATTTGCCATAACAGACTTCTGTTTCTACCTAGAAGTACAAAGCCTAGCAGAAGTATTTAAAGCAGCCTGGAAGAAATAATTCTCACAATCTGGATGAAATCCATCATAAGGTACTGCAAGGTATTCACCAGGGAAAATGCTCATCTGCAGACCTGAGATGCAGGTAGGCACAAATGGGCTGTCAAACATAGGTGAATCAAAAATAATTCAGTTTGCTTTATTAGTTTCACTTAAAAGTCCTGGGCTTTTAAAGCTACAAGAATCATAAAGTTTTACCAGCTCTTCTCTTCCTGTTTCCATCCTCCACAAAGAGATTCCTGTAGCGGAAAAAAGCTAGAGGATGTTAATTGTCCAGTAAAACTACCTTAAATAGAAAGATGGTTATACATCATATTTCCCTAGAAACCTTACAAATACCCCAACTCATTGAGGATTTGCTGTTGATTATAGTGTTTTTGTAGAGTGACTATTTCTCCAACATAAAATAAAAACTTTTAGAAAAAAGTTTACAAGATATTCTATGTTACTGTTGTACTTGTGCAGATAGAATCCATTTCCTGCTTTCTAGGAGCAGAAGGGGAGTAGGCCAGATCCGTATGTTTTAAAAGTTAATGCAAAATACAGATGACTCACTTTTAAAAAGTAAGTATCTGTTTTAAACATACAAAAATGTATGTAGTACAATACATCAGGAAAAAACCTCGGCCACATATATAAATGATTATAAAATTTATTTTTATCTATAAAATAGATTTTTCTCCTGCTCTTGCCCTCCATTCTTTACATACAGCTCATATACCCCATAATCCTTGACACAGTTGTAAAGAGAAAACTATTCAATTATTTTGTTGATAAAAATTTGCTTCTTCAAGCACTGGGAAGATTCAGATCTGGAACAAGACTGACCCCTAGTGCTTATCTATTCTGTTAGTGTTTTTTTTGTTTGTTTGTTTTTGGTCGTTTGTTTTGATTTTTTTTTTTCCTTAGAAAGTAAAAAATGACCCTTTAACAGGATGGGTTCCATCTACTTGACCTACTGTCATTTGATGGTATGTCATCTGTCCTTACTAAATAATTGTCATCACTTGCAATAATCACTCCTTAAAGCCCAAACGCATATAGACATCAAATACCTTAAGTTCCTAGTGTCCACAGCTTCTGTTCACATTTTTGAATGCTGTCTGTAAATCTGTAATTAATACATGCTCAGAATGTTCTCTCTCAGCTAATCATCCCCTGCTTTGCTTCTCATTATTAGTCCCTGTCTCTCAGTACATTCTGTAACCCGTAACATGTCTCCGGAGTTTGAGTTTAGTTATCTTTCCTGGTTTTAATGAGATAGTTTACTATTTTCAAGTTAAAGGATTTCTGGGAAAACACTCGGTTCACAACAAATTCTTGAAAATTTGGGGTAAATTTCCACTAGAAAAAGATTCAGTCAGGAAGGAACACAAATATGCATTCCAACAAATCAGTTATCCCTACCACCCAATCTTTTCAATCCCCCTTACAGCTGATAGAAAACAGCATGTTTCAATAAGAAACACAGCCTGCAAGTTGGATTCAGTTTAGGTAGCTGACCCACGGAACTAAGTAACCAGTTACTTAACCAGTTACCTAGTGAACTTAATCCCCTTTGTTACCCTAGTCTTTAAAGAAAGCAAAAGTGAACTTTAAAATAAGCAAACATATCTCGGTCTAGATAGACTAGCTGAGCGTTTTTTGCCTCATTGGATAACCATTTTCCAAAGAGCTTTTATTACTTTTATACAGAGTCTGAGCTTTCTTGGCTTGCTACCCCAATTGCGTCGGTGTAAGGCTCCCGTTTACAAAATACAACTATACTAATCTTTCGAGACGCTCACGTCCGGAGAGGACTTTGGGAGAGTGGCTGAGGGCAGTTAACAGGGTTTGTCAGGCTCATTCAACCACTGTGCGCCAACACGCATTCCGGAAATCCGCCCGCGCGACGCTTCTCCTCAGCCGCAGACAGGGCTGACGCCGAGCCCGCCTCCGGAACACCCATCCCCGCCGCGAGGGCGCCCCAAACTGCGGCGGCGAAGCCGGCCACAGCCGCGCCCAGCCCGCCCCGGAGGAAGATGGCGGCGCAGCCCTCCCCCTACTAACAGCTGCCAGCCCCGCCCCGCCCCGCCTCCAGCGCTCGGAGTCGAGCGCGCGCCCCTCCCCTCCGCCTACCCTTTCTCGCGAGATTGGGCGCGGCGCTCGCGCCGAATTTGAAGCTGGGAGCGCGGGCGCCGCGGCCGTTGGTGGTGCGCGCGCGGCAGCCATCACGGGGACGGTCTCCGGTGGCGCCTGGAGCGGGTCGGTTCGGCCGTTGGGCGGGAGTGCTTGGCCGCTTGCGGCGGGCGCTCCTTCCGCCATCCGGAGCGGCCTTGCGGCTGGAGCTTCCCGGGGCGGCTCGGCGCTACCGGAGTCGGGAGCGGGAGTCGTTACGCGACCGTCCTCTTGCTCCGCAGCCATGGGACCAAAAAATAAGCTTCTGCAAATCAAAGAAGCCTTTCAGCTGGCCCAGAAGCCTTACAAGAACCACTCGAAACTTGTCGTAGCTTTGAAGAGCACCTATAATCAGGTACGCCTGCCGCCGGGGCGTGCTAGCGGCTGCGAGGGGGTTCTTGCGCCTTGTTTCCCTTAAAGCAAGCACTGAGGCCAGTGTGCCTAAGAAGAGCCCTGCGACTTAAAAAGACCCCGAGCCACACGCTAACCTATTACACACAGTTGTTTCCTGCTGACAGGGGTGTAAGAACAGCCCACGACAGCTATTAATGGTGTTGCTGGAAGGTGTTTGGATACTCGAGTAGGTGTGTCACAGGATAATAACGGATGAGGGTTTTGATTGCCGTTCTGAAACCTGTTAGCAGGTAAATGTAAACTCCAGAATGGAGCCCGGTGGTCAAAACGTATGCCTGCTGTGAAGTTAAAGCAAAATATTAAGTGAAGAGTGCACAACAGTGCTTTAAAAATTTAAATGGAAGCTGTCAATTTTATTTTTTATGTAGTACTGCTTTTAAAAGATGAATGGGTAGTTATCTTTTGTTGGCGTTTGATTTTTATTTTTATTTCAGTTGGAAGATAAGGAAGATTTTAATGAAAAATTCGTTCATTTCCTTAAGTATGCTATGATTATCTACAGACGGGAACCAGCAGTGGAACAAGTGATCAATTTTGTGGCTCAGTTTGTCACTTCATTTTATCAAGTGGAGAAAGAGGATGGTAGTGAGGAGGAAGGAGATCATTTACTTCTGAGTTATGTGTTTAACTTTCTGCTTAAGGTACAGTAACACTTAATACTAAATCTTTAACACAGCAAATTAAAACTTCATGCAGTAGGGATAACTTGCTGACACTGGAGATGATACCTAGAAACTGGAACTTAAAAAGTGAAAGCAAGGCAAAGCTAGTGCTTTATGAGTAAGAACACCCTCCCCCAACCCCAAAAACCCCATGACACTCTCCTAAATAACCCAATAGCTGTTTTTCAAAAGTTGGGTCCATGAGAAAATATGAACGGTTTTCTTATTTGGTTGTCAGGTGTCATTATAGGCTTTACTGTAGGTGCATTTGTAAGTGTGAAGTCGTGGAAACGAGTTTATATTTTGACAAGTAAAAATATTAAAATACTATTCTAACAGGTATGGTTGGCATATGTTATTCCCTTCTGCTTGTTGCAAGTGTTCTATAGAAAGAAAATCAACAGTTCCAATACCATGAAAAGAAATAGAATTACATTTTCTTAAACTAATGTTTTGACATAACAAAATTATTGGTCAGGCCAAGATCGCTAGTCGTCATGGCCAATATTTTTTTTTTCTTCAAATGTTTTATGGAGGCAGAGCAGCAAGGTAGCTAATGTACTGTAGTCTACATTGAGTGGTAAGCACATTTCTTCCTTTGTGAAGGCATTGCTAATTATGTAAAGTACTACTGATACAGGTGATGGGCCATAATTGTTCTCCAGTTCTGTGACTTTTTAATCTTATTAAAAATAAATAGGAAAAGCTTTTGAAATACAGAAGTGCATATTTCATGTACTGTATAGAATATTAACTACTTGCATGTGCATATTAATAGCCTTATGTTGGAAATAAGGAAAGTGTGATTGTAAGAATACTCTTTTTTTTTTTTTCCCTTTGCTCAAGTCTCACAACGCAAACAGCCATGCGGTTAGGTTTCGAACATGTCAGCTTGTTAATAAGATTTTGGGAAATATGCCAGAGAATGCCCAGATTGATGACGACTTATTTGATAAAATTAATGAAGCTATGCTAATTAGACTTAAAGATAAATTTTCGAATGTGAGAATTCAAGCTGTCTTGGCCCTATCTAGGCTTCAAGATCCTAAGGATGAAAACTGTCCTGTTGTTAATAGTAAGTAATATTGAGTGTTTCCTTTTATTTAAGAACATTTGTTGATTTACATTAAAGCATTTTAAGCATTTTTTTTTTTTTTAAGCACTGAGTAAACAAATCTTAAAGGGTATTCAAGTGGGTATTATGTCTTCAAAGCCAGGTTGAGTGGGGCTTTGAGCAACCTGGTCTAGTGGCAGGTGTCCCTGCCCATAGCAGAGGAGTTGGAACTAGATGATCTCTAAGGGACCTTACAACCCAAACCATTGCATGAGCCTTGTAATTCGTAAACTGTGGAGCTCTTTGCCAAGGGAGGTTGTAGATGAAAGAGTTATGCATGTTCAAGGGGAAAAGGCAGAACTTCTTGAAGGAGAGATTGACCGGGAGTTAAATGACAGACAAATCGTATTGGGCTTGGGCTATTTTGTGAACTGAAGGATGGTAAGAATAATGGTGTGCTGCAAATTGAAGTGGAGATGCGATACATGCTTGCTCAATTTTTACCCTGTAAGGACTATCTTGTACTATTAATTGAATATGTACAAAATTTCTTAGAGTAGAGATTATAATAGCAAAACTAATTTTGTCTCACATTATGGCTGTTGGCCCCATGAGAGGCAAACTGGCTACTGACATTGTTGACCTTTGCTTTTTTTGCCCCCTTTTTTTTTTTTTTTTTTTTTTTTGTTTGCAAATCTCATCTTATTTATGGATCCCTTCCTTTACAAAATCAGCACCTCTGGAACCCAGGTTTCTAGATGCTGTTTTTGTGCTGTTAGTGGTTTTCTCTCTGTATGGTATAATTCTTCACTAACCCTCTACTTCCATTGCCTCAAGGCAGATGGACTGTAGGTTTGCACCAGCACAACTGTTATGTAAATTGTGCCCTGCTTAAACTTTACATACTGTCTTTTGTGAAGAGAGTTAGTTGCAGCTTCTTTAAAATTATATTTTCTCAGTGTTTCCTTGTAAGTTGCTTATTTAGGGGCACATAAATTTCATAGTCAGTCATTGTCTCACAGATCAAGAGGGTGAATTCAAGTATTCTCTGATTAAATTCTTTTTGTTATTGCTTTTAATTTTGAAGAAGGTTCAAGAATATAATAAAAAGCATTATGTAAAAGATTTACTATTTGACTTTTGGTAAATGGAGATTGTGATTTTCCATTTATGGAAGAATTTGAGGATTGACCTCAAAGGTAATGAGGATATATAGCCAGTGAATAGAGATCTTAAGGAGCCAACATTCCGAAGCTTTTTTTTTTTCTGTCCAGTGATTGACAGAGTGATTATTTATAGGTGGGATTTAGAGTAGCAATTTCCAGAGATATTTACTGAAGATCCTACTTATGATTGCAAATATTTTCATAGTTGAATTTCTTTTGAGATCATAGCTCAGAACGTAACTGCCATAAAATCTTGGGGTTGTGACCATAAACTATTTCCTAAATTTGTATGAGCTATGCAGGAGTGGGGGAGAGATTTTAATAACAGCTGCTATTTTTTTTTTGAGTATTTTCTGGTTTTCTGTAATGTTTCAAATTCTTATGAAACCATTATTATGACTATTTTACTTTCAGTTTACAACATATTGCTTGAAAATGATTCAAATTCAGAAGTGAGGCGTGCAGTGCTGTCATGTATTGCTCCATCAGCAATGACTTTGCCAAAAATTATAGGCCGCACAATGGATGTGAAGGAAGCTGTGAGGAAGCTGGCATATGAGGTAAATTGAATCACTTAATATTAATTTCAAAGAGTTACCTAGGGAAAAGGCTTTACATCTTTAGTTATATGTTACTGGTTAAACACTAAGAACAGTTAAATAATTTATTTTCACTTACCAGAATTTTGAGGGGGAGTGATTTATTACAGGTTTTGAAGTTAAAACCCCTGAATTTGACTGCAGAACTTGCTTAATAGAAATTGCTTTTGTGACAGGACTCAGCTCTTCAGGATCGGACAGTAAAAGTAGAAATTCTGTATATAATCTATTGTTTTCTATGTATGCATTTTGTGATGTTTGTGAAGCAGTTTTATCTATTATGTAATAACAGAAAAGAAATTAAGTAAATTTAAGATCACAGCAATACTAGTGTAAAGAAATTCCTTATTTTTGGTATTCCAGTTTTGAGAAGTATCAACAATTACTTATGTTTACACGTAGAGCTAAGGGCAAGAAGGTATGCTACCATGTATGTTTCTTGTGTGGGCATCTTAGGCAAGATCTTCAAAATAAAATGTTCAATTTCTTCACAAAGAACTGTCTTGTGTTCTTTCTTAACTTAGATTACATGCTGTTTTTTAACTGAATGTATGTGTTAGTAGGCTTTAAGAAAAGTACACGCTTCAGTCATTTCATTGCAGGTATTTATTACTCTCAGAGCTTTAAAGAGAGAGAATGGTTTTCATATCCAGGTGTTGAAGTGGAGCTGCCAAGCTTCTAGGCTAGTTGTTAACTTTATTCTTACATTATTTTATTCTACCTTTTCTTCCATGCACAAGAATCTCCTTGTTAATGTATTGGTACAGTGCTGATGGTACAGATAATACAGGCTTTTATTGTCTTATGATTTCTGTGGATGGATAAAACTGAGTTTAAGACCACAGGTAGTTAATGAATTCTGTTATTACCATTTCTAGAAATGTATTTTAATGCCTTAATTTTTTTTAAGGTTTTGTCAGAAAAAGTTCATATGAGAGCACTGTCGATAGCACAGAGAGTAAAATTGTTGCAACAAGGACTTAATGACAGATCTGGTAAGAGATCATCTTTCTCAACATCTTAATTCAAATGTTTAAGAGAACACTTTCAAATGTTTTGGGGGTGATTTATGTGGAAGCTGTGCTGGCAATAATACGGAGCTGAAAAGGAGTCATGAGGTACCAGGAAATGTTTAAGCACAAGAAATTCTCCTTGCCACTCTGTTTTTTCAGACCCTTTATAGTGGACAAACCAGAAAATGAATGCACTTTCAAAAAACCTTGAAAACCAATAAGCTCTAAAATAGGACCAAATGTTATTAAAGTAAAAGAATAATAATGTAATTATTTAATTTGCTGTATTTTGAAACATGCTTCATTACAGATATTTTTTAAACTAATATATATATTAACGAATTTAAATGTAAACATTAATATGAGTTTTATAATTGTTTGAAAATGTTTCCTATGTGCTTTTGGAGAGAAATCTTCTCAGCTGGTTAGTTTTTAGCTTAACTAGCTTGATTTTTTTTTTTTTGAATGAATTTTTGATTGACCCTCATTGCACCATGAGGCAGCTTTATTCTTTTTTATGTCTTCTGTACTGTGTCATTTTTATATAAAAAGCCATTCAGAATGTACCCATAATTGCATGTGGTGGTGTTGCCAAAAGATCAAAAGGTCGTATGCATCTGACTGAGACGATTTCGGCCTGCCTACATAGAACTTTTTTTTTTTTTTACAACAATAGCAATTATTACATTAATTTAAAAATAAAAGTTGACAGTTTTACTAAGTGCTACTGTCTAATCCACATAGTTTGTTTGGAAAGTCTGTACTAAGCCCTGTTGAATTTTACTCTGAGAATTTTCCTTGCTTAGTGATGTGCTGCTTGTGAACTTATGAGAAATATAACCTGTGTGGATATTCACTTAGAGAACAAGACCAAAAGTACTGTGTTTGTTGGTAACTGGAGCCCTTATATGCGTATCATGTATGCATGTCTTTTTGAGCTGCTTTTCTTTTTGGCTATTTGGGGATCATGTTAGTATGTTCTTGACAGCAAAGGAAGAGAGGATCAGCTGTGTACTTTCTTTCTTATGCTGTATAGAACTACACTTAGAAGTCCTCCTTCTGTATAGTTCTTAATTAGCATTTTTCCCCACCAACCCTGAATTGTTCTATAGTAGTCTAATAAAGTTTGTCAGGTTTTGGTTTTGAAGTCCAGCAGTGAAAACCCTATCTTCTGAATTACTGTTTCTTATCAGTATACTAGTTTGTTGCTTGACCTAACTAGCTGCTGCTTGTCTGCTGACCACCACCTCCATCCCTGACAATACTTGGACTTGACAAATAATTATTTTGTTTTAGGATGAATGTGTTTCTCTTTTAGTTATTTTGCAAAACGGGGGGAACCTACCTTCACTACTTTTTCCTGTGATCCTTCATTTGTCAGGAACAAGGATTTGTTCTATTCCCTGACTGAGAAGGTACAGACTTTCTACATGGCCTACATTTCAGTGACATTGAGGTGTTCGACATAAAGAACTGCCTTTATGATCCAGAGCAGATCCTTTCTCTGTTCAGGTCTACCTCTTTCTTAGGATAATTCTTCATCCCAGCTATTGAGGACTTGCTCTTTTTCTTGACACCTAGAATCACAAGGGAAAATACCTGCCAGGGTATGTAATCTCACTGATGTCACTGATCTCATATGCTCTTTGCTGGGCACAGGAGGTTCATGTTCCAAATTGGCTGCATTTATATATACATCCACTAGTATTCCCTCATTTTGATCTGTTTTGTAAATTCTATAACCTTGAATATATTTATCTTTATTGAATTTGCTCATTTGAGTAACTCTCAAGCTAACAAGAGAGGAACCTACTTGTTCAAGTTTGCTAGGTTGAAATTTTGGATGTTTTTCCATATTGGCCTTAGAACAAGGTTTATAATCAAACGAGACCTAGAATATATAATCCAGATTTGTCTTCTGTTTTTCAGGGCGCATACAGCTGTCAATTCTCCCCTCTCATTCTCTTTCGTTCTACTACATCCTACTAGTTTATGCTTTTCACCTTCTTGGAGAGGTTTATCGTTCTTAGGACACTAATTTAGCTCTTTCAAGGCCTTTTTACAGCTCTTTTTGAACTCTTGATTATATTTAAGAGCTGTCTTTATTATCGTGTTACATACAAGAGGAAAGATGAGTGTTGTCAGCGTGTGTGGATTTCATTGTTTCCTTTATATTGGAGATTGTTTTCTAAAAGGTCCTAAGAGCATACTTGTATCGCTCCCTAGATATGTCTTTACTTCCACCAAACTATTAGCCTTTCTGCTTTCCTGCTTAAATCTGTGTTGTATGTATTAATGATGTACACATTCTAGTTGTTCCCATAAATACTTTTTCCCTTGATTAAGTAGTACTCTACTTATCCAGAAACTATCTGTTCATTGTGACAGTGGGGAGGAGGTGCTTAAAGTATCTTTATGTAAATTTCACAATCCAGTTGAATAATTGAATTAACACAAGAATTCTGTGTGGCACTTTAGACTAAAGATCTGTACAGTAGTATCCTGCCTCCAGAAGTGACCAATTCCTAAAATGCCTGAAACAGAGCAAGTATATAACAGTGCTTTCCCAGAAATATTTCCTTGTGCTACAAGAGTTCCTGGTTTGTAGATTTTATGGGTTGAGGTGCTATCTTTAGACGTAACAGTTTTTGGATAGAGGGTTTTTTTAATTCCCTGTGAGAGGAAAAAAACCAAAAAAAAACACATCAGAAATGTAGTGGTCCATAGGTAGCCTTTGTTTAACTGTTGGTTTTTCTCTTTTTTTTTTTTTCTAAGGTGACATTAAATTCAACTGTATAATAACTTCTTTCCAAAAAGCCTTCTGTAGAAAAATAATTTGTGAAAGTATGTTGAAAACTTGGTATTTTTTGACCTTCAAAGTTTGAAACCGTTTAAATTCCTGTATTATTAGATGCTGTTAAGGAGGTAATAAAGAAGAAGCTGCTTCAAGCCTGGTTACAATTGACTGAAGGGAATGTTTTAGAATTGCTTCATCGACTTGATGTGGAAAACTGCCCAGAAGTGGCCATCCCAGTACTTAATGCTGTGTTTTCATTAACTCCACTTCATGACTTTGTTCAGAATGATAAAAACCTTGACAGCAGGTATGCAGATCAATTTCATTTCCAAAAGATGAATATTTCGTATAAGAATATTAAATTAAAGGTTGAATCTAAATGGGGAGCAGAGTAACTAGTACCTGTGATAAGACTGATACAGTGGTGTAAACCATAATGTCTCCCTGGTGTTTGTGTACTTAAATGTTTTAGATATGCTTTTTTCTTTTTTAAAAAAATCTGTGTTCACCAGCTGAAAATGATTGTGCCAGATAAGCAAGAGGAAAAACTGAAAAATATCTTTTGACTTGTTTTCTGAACAACAGAAAATTAAACAACTAAACAAGCTTTTCTGGGTAATAACTTAGAGTCTAATTTGTATTATTTCATGTACTGACTGTAAAGCTTACAGTAAAGGTAATGCTCTAGTTTATCCCCACAACCGTAATTTCCTCTCTTCTTTTAACCTATGGTACTGAAAAGCTCATTTTCTCCCGTTCCTCTTCCCTCTCAGTAATGTTTCTAGTTTTTCTCACACATTTCCTAGTCTTCTTTTGCTTCCCCTCTCTTCTTTTTGCTGAGCTAGAGGCAGCATAATTTGGGGCTGGTTCAGTTATCCACAGACTGTTTGGAGAGTCAGTCAGAACGGAATTATTGGTCTTGTTTCAGACATCTTTTGGAGGTATTTTACTTGTATTAACAGAGCTTGATAGAAGTTGGAATCTTAGAGGCTTCTTTTCCTGTGTTAGTGTTGGTAGACTTTGACTAAATTAGTTCCTAAACTAAGAAGAAGACATGAATATAAAGATCCATTAAGCAAAAATGATGGGGGGGAAAGAGAAGAAGAAATTAGAAGTTGTAGGAAATTGCTAAGGGAGGCAAAAAGGTGTGAGAAGAAACAGCTCAAGTTAATTGAGGCAACTGGAGTAGAAAGATTATTAACAGTGGTAGGAGTCTAATTTCAGATGATAAATGACAAATTGTCATTGATTAAAAAATAATAACAAAATCTGATTCCGTGTTTTGGGGGAAAATGTGTAATGTCTTCGTATGAAGTGTCTTGCATTAGTGTAGTAGCTTATGATGTGTTTTGAAATCAGTAGATGCTACATGTGTTGCACTCCAGAGCTATACATGTGGGCCTGTTTGGCTTTAAAAAGTATCCATAATGGTGAAATAACTTAGAGCCTCTGGAAATGTGCCAATATCTTCAAAAGTCTTTCAAAGGAAAAATTTATATGGTTATGGACTTGTCAGTCTGACTTTGGTCTTGCATGAAATGAGGCTTCCATTTTGAAAGACTGGGCTGAGAATTTTCTAAGTAGTAGGATCTGTTAATGACATTTTGAGAAGCAAGTGAAATTGTTCAGCCTGTAATGAGGTTATTTTTTTTATGGCAAACATTAGGCTTGTTCTTGTATGATGTTTCTGACTACAGCTTGAGTGTTGTAGTATCAGTATGATAAATGCTTAGATTTTTGAAGTCTATGATTTCTGTTTGTTAAATTTACTTTTAAATATTTGTCAGATTAATGGTAAGCCATCAAATGATTAGTTTTCATCTATGTGTTGCTGTTTTGTTTGGGTGTTTTTTTTTTTTTTTTTTGTGTGTGTGTGTGAGGGACCTAAAAGAAAACCAAAATTGTTATTGATAGTTTGCAAATCAAATGGGATTCGAGGGAATGAAGTACTACTGACAATGATACTCTTGTCTTCTGTTTTAAGGTAGAATTCATGTACAATTTAACATTCTGCTTCCGAAAACAAAGATTATATGCTATGCTTAGCATGCAAAAGACTGATTATGAGAAGGAGTGGAGGTCCTATGACTGGTAAACAGAGGATGAGTTTACAGGGATGCTGAGAAGTGGTTCTGTTACTCTTTTCATTTGACATACTATGATTGCTACTTGAATTTTGTGTGAAGATCTTGTATTAAGAATGGAAGAAAAATTCATAACAAAACATGAAAAATAATTTGATGCAGTTGTTGCATTTATGCAGATTAATGGAGTTCAGTTTTCCAGGCTTGTACAGTGATAACAATGTTTCACAGAGTTAAAATACTTGGGTGGTTGCTCCAGGGGGTGTGAAGGGCTGAGCAGAATCTTTCTCCAAACTGACATGAGCAGCCGTGGTTTAGGGTACTGAGAAGTGCAAGGCAGTGAGAGGCTCAGGGAGCTCCATGTCCTCACTTAAGAAAGAGGAAGTTATTTTTGTCAGTCTTTTAAATATTTCTTTGAGGAATACCCTTGACAGGATTTTGTTTTCATTTAGCAAATTATCTATTTCTGTGCATTTGTTGTGTTTGATCCTATTTTGCATATCTCTATTTTTGTTTAGAAAACTGATTCCACTGGAAGACTTAACAGCTGAGAAGGTGTTATATTGGAGATGTCTTTGTGAATATCTAAAATCAAAAGGTGCAGAAGGTGAAGATTTATTAGAAAAGATGTTGCCGGAACCAGCTGTATATGCAGATTACTTATTAAGGTACATTGTACTTAAAAATAAATCTCTTACTACTGAAGTAGATTATTTTTTTAAAGTAGAGAATATTTCTTTTATTAAACTATTCAGATTTCTTTCAAAGCCAAACTTGTGCTTGAACAGTATTTTTTTTAATGTTTTAAAAGATTTTTTAAGATTTTTGATAAGATTTTCTTCTTTTAAACAAAAACTTAAAATGCAAATTTATAACTTGAAAACAATTTTTAGAATGTCCTTCTTCATGAATTATCAGCAAGATGGACTGCTAGATCAAGAGCATTGTAGTTCTTTGCCATTTATGATAATAATTGTTCTGTAATATGCACCTATCCTTTGTCCATCTGTTATTATGTAGTTTGCTGTGTGTTTTCAAAGAGCTTTCAGAAGGAGGTTTCTAGGGCTTGCAGAAACCATTACATACTTTTTTCATTGTTGTAATTTGTGGAAATAAATAAAATTTGGTTTCTGTCCTCAAGGGAAGTGTTTTTAAAACTGAAAGTTCATTCCCTTCTTTCCTCTGCTCAGGCAGGCATGCTTCCTAAAAAATTACGTTTGGAGGCAGTAACAGAGCTGCTAAATAAGCCAATTCAATGAGAACATTTAATCATGGGGAGAAAAAAAGAATGTTTTAAGTCAATCTTCTTACCACAGTGAAGAAAGGCAAATTTTTTTGTCTCAGTGGGATACTTTAGTCTTAACTTAAAATTTGCATAGAATTTCTTTGTGAGCATGCAGAATGCTGAGAAATCTTAACTGAGGTATTGTACTGGCAAAATGTGGAGTCAAGCTTTGTGAAATGATTATAAATCAGATCTGCTGAAAAATGCATTGTTCTGATAGATGTTTCCAATTAAAAGCATACATACTATTTTCTCACTTCTGTGGGTGTAATATCCTTGTAGTACTTATAGAAATCATTGCTACTTTTCAATGTGGAATGTGCTAACATATTTCATAAACAGTTAATAAATGAAGCGTCTGTGGTTCCTTAATTTTGAGATGTAGATCCAGTCTCATGGGTGTAAATTCATTTATTCATAATTAACTTAATTAAGTCCATAAAACCTTGCTTTTTCCAAAAAAAAGTTTTAATTTTTCCATCCAATCTTACTCAAAATGCCTTCAATTCAGGAAGAGGCTGAGTAAGATTCATTAGGCTTGCTAGTACTAGTACTATCGACTGTTAAACTACTCAACTGGTGGTACAGCTCACTAGTGTTTCAGGTCTGAACTGCAATTGTACAGTCCAAGTCTCTATTTGCACTGTAAGAGTATCAGGTTGGAGGAGAAAGAAACTGTAAGTCATTGATACTTTTGAAAAAAATGCAGGATTGTAAGCTTCACTTAGATATTTCACTATTATCTGGTGCAGGTAACATTATTGTTAAATGATCAGAAACAGCTGCCTACACTGTTATTTTGGACGTTCTTAAATATTAGCTACATGCAAAATTTTTGTCCTGACTTTGAAGAAATTTTGTAAAATAGCTAAATATAATGAACTGTTGCTGAAAAGGATCTGCAAAGCTGTGGTAAAAATAAACATATTTTTCACAGCTCATACCAGTATTTCAATTTTATATATTACATTATATTCAGTATTGAATTTTGTACACAGTATGCTTCACTGCATGTTTTCTGAACATGCATGCTCTCATTGGTGGATAAAATTTTGATAAAATAATAATGACTCTAGAAAAATAAAGAAATGAAACAAACTGGTTACACTTTCCATGTTTTGTGGCTGAATATATCTGACAACAGATTGTTGTTCTTCCATGATGGCTCACTTGATCAGATAAAGAATTTAAAATTCATTGCACACTTCAATGATTTCCTTGTATTTGGTCTTTTAGGGTATATAACACTTGTGAACATGTAGAAGAATTGCTAGTTGTATTTTTATGAAAAATGGTAAATGTATACATTTATTTCTAAGATGCTGCCTTTATGCAGAGCTGCAGAACTAAAATTACATGTACAAACATAACTTGTCATTTTTTGTTTCTTACTGTTTCGCATTCTCAAACAAGGGGTTTTTTTAATGAAGTGTGGTATTTTTAAGCTGTACATTATTTGGTAGAAATAACTTAATCTATAAAAAGAAGACCAACATTAATTTTTAAGGTTTGTAACTAAGGTAATCGCTTGTTTATATAGGACAGGAAAGTGGTGGGGTTTGTGTTTGTGTTGTGTGGTTTGGTTTTTTTCTTTTTTTTTTTTTTTTTTCTGGGGTGTGTTTTTTTTTTTAATGGATTTTTTTTGTTTGTTTTTACTTTCCAACAATGATTCTGAATGTAATTATATCTGTTCTATTTGGATTCAGTTACCTTCAAAATATGCCAGTTCTTAGTGAAGAACAAAGAGAAGACTTTAATTGTTTTGAAAACCTGATGACAAAAGAATTTATAGGCCAGCAACTAATTCTTATCATAGACTGCGTGGATACCACAGAAGAGGGAGGAAGGTAAACTGAGATATAAAACCTGTGTTATTAAGCTTTATGGCACTTATACCTGTGGACAGGCATAGAGTCTCTGTTGGGAAAATAACCTGATCAAACAGACAAAATATGGTTCTAATGCTAGCTGGAAAAAAAGGCCTGGTCTCTCTAATGGAATTGTTCCCAGAAGTGTGCCAAATACTGTGTGCTTACTTTTATGGAAAAATGAGTTTTAACATAGTTACAACATTGTTTGGGGAGAACAAATTCTGTTGTTTTCATAAGGTATTCTGGAGATTATGAAGTTACAAGACTGTTCATTTGGAATGTAGTATATAAAAAAATAAAAGGAGATAAATGAATTACTTCTCAACAGATGACTTGTAGTAAGTAGCCTGTGTGTTTCTGATGTTTTTAAGCCCAGTCTGCTAAGGCCTAAAAGGTTACAGATGTTTTAGATGCCAAGCTGAATTGAACTCTGTTAACTGAGTCATGCCTATAGTTTGAACAGCCTTTTGATGTGAAGTAATAAGAGTGGATAAATTTGGAAGTTCATACCAGCACAGACATTTTATGAAAAATTGCAGTAATGGCAGTATAAACACAGCAATAATTTCAGACTCTTAGTGGAATGCATTATATGTATGCCAGACTGGCAGGATAGTTTTTGCAATTTTTTTTTTTGTTTTGTTCTGTTTCCAGTCAGATAAGTTCTATGAAAGCATTCTACAGTATTAATACTCTGACTGTTTTCTGTTGATATGGCCTTTAATTGGACAGTAGTTACACCTGGTTAAAAAATTCAGCATTTTCTAATCAAGAGAAGTCAGGTAAAATCAGAAAAAGACAAAATAAGCAAGCTTTCTTACTTGCTAATAATATATTCAGTAGTTAATATAGCTACAGAGAAGTTACTCTTATGTATTATACAGTCTTCATCACGCTAACTCAAAGTGGGTAAAATATTAACTCATGTCTTCCATTTTCTTGAATAAGCAAACGGATTGGTGTTTTTCTCTTTAATGCAGAAAACATCTGTTAGTTACTTTACAAAAGATTCTCACTCTACATGCAACTTCAACAGCCCTTATATCTCTGCTTGTGGAAAGATTACTCAATATTGTTAAGGATGATGACAGAAGGATTGAAATTGTAAGTAATTCTAAAGGCTCATTGTTTTCTAGGCTCTTCCTTCCCCGTATATCAAACAGCGTTTGTGAAGCGTTGTAACAGAAATACTGAGTTAAAATATTTTTAGTTTGAAAAAGCATTTATGTTCTCTTCACACACGCCCCCCCACACCCCTCCCCCTTATTTTTTTTTAAGCACAGCTGCATTTTGTCGTTGTCTAAAGATCTTTATCTTTAGAGAATTGGCTGATGTTAGTGTAACCCTCAATTTAGGAAAGTATTACACTTTGACAGCCTGTTTCAGAATCCTTTGTTATATTAGATCCAAACAATTTTGACCAAAACACTTAAAGTGAGGATAACGTACGTTTCTGGGTTTCAAATTTCTCTTCCCTCCTTTTAGCTGAGATGGGTACTAAAAACCCTTGTAAGAAAAGTATTTTATATAGTAGAGCTTTGTTGGAGAATGGCTCAGAGACAAGGGTCCTGAGCCCACCGAGCAGTTGTATGATCAGAGCCTGTTCTAGGGGCTGATGCTGGGCCTCGCTGATGCTGGGCCTCACTAGGGTTTGCCTGCAGCTGCTCGCAGCTGCTGATACATGAAGAATGTCAAGGACGCCTCGGCCTTGTGTACTGTGGTGTGTCGAAAACAGGTTCAGAGGAATTAGAAATAGTGGCCTGAGAAACTTAGTGTTATGAGAAGCTTGTGCTGTTAGCTAACTGCAAGTAGGTGGACCGTGCGAATACGACCTTTAGAGCTTAAGCCAATCAGCTAGTGACTAGTAGGCATAATAATTAGCGTCTGTATAAATATATGTACCCTGGACCAATAAAAGGATACGATATATGATGCTCTATCACCCACATTGAATCCGTCTCGGCGTGTCGTTCCTCCGCTGCTCCGCAGAGCTATTATATATAGCATAATTATTTGAACATAACTCCTTGATTTTGCTCAAATATTTAAAATGAACCCTGGGCTTAAGGACGGAGACCACTTTCAGAAAAACTCAATCCAGTGGATAAAGCTAGGATATAGGTTTGTTACATGATTACAGTGGAAGAGCTATGGTAATCTTAGCATTACAGTACAATGGTAATAGTAAATCTGTAAATTTCTATTGTTCTAGTGAAATACACTGATTCAGTACGTTCTGTTGATTTGGTACAACCTGAGAGGAAGTTAAACTGAGGTGATCTGATACAAAATAAATCAAATTAAGACTATCATATCTTATTTGGTCTTTAGCTTTCCTCATGTTTCATCTCATTTTTTACTAACATAATGGGTCTGACTTCAAATAAAACCCCTAACAAGCTAGAAAACTCAGCTTAGTTTTTCTTGTTCTAAGCACGTATTTGGCTTGAAATTAAATTGCTTACATGGCTTCCAATACTGATGGTTTATAGAGCTTTAAATGATAGTGTTCTTGTATTTTGATTGAAATGGTAACATATGAAAAATCTTACTCTTGTTACCAGTAATGGTTTTTAAAGCATGTGTTCTGATCTAGAGGAGACAGTGCCTGTGAACTGTTGGCATAGAAACTGCTTAACTTATGCATGGATATACAGTCTTCTATTTTCTTGCTTACCTAGCTAGATGGTAGAAAACACTAGACTTTCATGGTTAGACTATGTATTGTCAAATTGGGGATTTATTTGCAGTGAATTAGCTGTTAAGGGAAACTACACAGATGTTCAATACTTTTTCAGAAGGATGGTATTTTAAATTTGGAAAAGTGAAATGCTTAGTTTCTTGACATCTGAGCTGAAATTAATGGCACTAATATGCTGTTTGTAACAATAGATTGTAGAAATTATATCAGAAGTTCTTGATCCAACTGTTACAGTCAACCAGCGTATTGATGCTGCTGAAATAAGAAAGCGGGAGCTTAAGGTAAGCAGATTTTAGTTGACAAGAAAAATGGTTTTTTAAGCATATCCATCTAGTAAGAGTTTTATATAGTAGTGTATTATTGGCTAGTGTCAGTTGTGTATTGCTGGCTAATACCACAAGAGTTATGGTATTATATTAATTTTCTCTTTACTTTGTATTTCAGTTGGCTGAAATAAAAGTGAAACTTATTGAAGCAAAACAAGCTTTGGAAGAATGCATTACTCTGCAGGATTTTCAAACAGCATCAGTATTAAAAGAGAAAATAACTGAGTTGGAAGACAGTAAAAATGATATGATAAAAGAAATAGAGCAACCTGAAATTGAAGTAGTACATGTGGAGAAGGTCTCTTCCCTTCCTGTCTTCTCAAGTGCTGGTTATGTTTTGACGTTTATTCATCACTGTAAAAGAAAGTATATTTTGGCCTTGTACCATCTAAACTTTTAAAATTGAAAATGAACATTTATGGTATTAGTATTCTCCTTTTGCATGTATAGAAGCTGATGGTGTGCTTTAGCAAAAAATGAATTGTAGTTAAACTGTTATTTTTGTCCTTGAATAACTAAACAATTCTAAAAGTGGCTTGTTTTTACTGTTTTTAGTCTTAACTAACTGAAAACACTAATCTGAATCTCTCTTCATCACAGTTTATAGACAGATTTTGATTAATATTCTTGCACAACAAATGTGTAGCGGACAAGAAATGTTTATTTGGGTAGGGAAAAATTACTATTAATGTCCTCATTCTCCTTATCACATTAGTATTAACAATGTTTTTATCTTTTCCCTGACCCACTTGAAGAATGATCCTGAAACACTGTTGAAGTGTCTGACGATGTGTTATGAGCTTCTGAAGACTCTATCCCTTTCTAAAGGTATTAGTCCAACCATTAATGGAATCATTGAATCTCTGGTATGTATGTGTTCTTTTTTTTGTTTGTTTGTTTGTTTTGCTAGTTAAAAACTTATGATCTAGAAAGACCAGAACTCGTATAGACCTTTCCTTTATCCCTTCCACATACAAGGAAAGATGTTTGGGGGATTCCCTTCTCATCCTCCTCTGTTTTCTTAGCACCTTTTGAAGAGCAAAATATTTCTGTATTGAAAAATAAAGCAGTGGCATTATAGGTCTCCTACAGTCTACAGGATATACTTCCTAGTTTTCATTGCAAAGCATATGGATTTTATGATGAACATTTCTAAATATCATAGATTTTTAAGTGTTACTAAGTGTGCAAAAAAAAAAGGGGGAAAAAAGTAATAGACCGTTATATGAATGGTGCATCCACATCTGAATGCTCTTTGCAATTCTTATCTCATTTATCTACAAACCTTATATTTGAATTGGAAGTGGTCAAGAGAAGGGCAGCAAGGAAAAGTATAGAATGGCTTCTGTATGAAGAATGACTAACTAGGTTACTACTTCATAACCTGAAGAAGAGAGGACTTAGAGGTGGGGTGTGAGAGGGGGCAGAATTCTTAAGACATGAGTGTTATGGAGAAAGTGAATAAGAATTGTTTGATCATCCCATAAAGCTAACAACTAGCAAGTTCAAAGCAAATTAAATTAGCTGATTCTTCCCATAATACGTAATCTGGAATTTTTTGTCACAGGATGTGTACGGTGAACATTTACCTAAATGTCAAGGAAAACTGAGCGAGTTCAAGAAAAATGTTATGGCATCATTAAGTAGATAAGAATAGCTTCCCAACTCTGGTGTGTCTCAGCTGCAAATTGTTGGGACCTTGACAAGAATTTTGGGGAAGTATCTACTTGGTCTGTTTATGTAATACTTCATAGGAATTTGGTTTTGATCTTTTTTGATAATGAGACAATGGGCTAGATGACCTGACTCAGTATGGGCATTCTTAGAATTCAAACTGCAAAGAAAATTACAACACCAATTTAGATTTGTTTAAATGTAGTGGAACCACATCTGATTTCTTTCAGACTTACAGAAGTATTCTTAGAAATCTTAATTAGTGTTGATGTGTCCTCCAGAAAACTTTTATTTTTCATTAGGTCTTTAATTTTTACAATTTGTTTATTCCACTTTCCTTTCTCCAAGATCCTGCTTTCATATTGTTGTTCCTGCTGGATTTTCACATATTACGTGATTTGGGATATTTTATTTGTTTAAACTTTAACTCTTTAGTAAATGCAAAAATGTAAAATTATGCCACTGAAGCATTCACCCTTTATCTAGTCTGGCCTTTCTTTTCTGTGGATTTTTACCATTGTCTTCTCAAAACTATTCCAGGTACATGCAAGTGGCATATGTGTTTTGCAGCTTGAATCTGGGTATTGTTTCTCTGCAAGAATGCTAATGTCTTTTATAAAGAAATGTGTAGGTTTGTTATTGTGTAGTTGTTTTGCTTTTTAAATTTCACGATGAGTGGCCAACTCTGTTTTTTAATAAATATTTGTTTTCAAAATTAACACAAAGCAAAACACTCATGTGATTATTTTTTTTTTTTTTTGCCATTATTTCCTTTCTGATTTCAACCATACTTAATCTGCTTCTGTTTATTTAGATAAACAGTGTATAGTACTTACCACTTTCCAATCCTGTATCAAACTAATTAGTTTTAGTTTCAGGTAAGCACATTTTAGTAGTCAGTTTTTTATTTTCAGTTTATATAGTTGAACTATAAAGTCTAATATTATTGTTTTCAGATACTTCCTGGCATAACTAATGTCCATCCAGCTGTGCGAAATACAGCAGTTCAATGTTTGGGTTGCTGTGCCCTTCAGAGCAAAGAATTTGCCCAACAACAGCTTACATTGCTGATACAGGTAAAACAGTGGTCTGTGTGACTTAGATACAAGACTAGTTTTTTTTACTGTAACAAGCTATTCTACATAGTTATGTTATTTGAGAATCAGTGATTTGTGATTTCATAAAGATCTAGATGATCTGGAGGCTGTGGTTTCGCATAGATTTTTCTGATGTCTAATAATATTCAAGCTTATATTGTATCTTGGTAGTAGCAGGCTTTTCCTTTTGTAAGGTCAGCTGCTGTCTTGAAAGTTTGTAGGAATTCTTTATCTGTCAGGTCTGATTTTTCTCTTCCCAATCTGTGTGAAATCAGTCATGTACTTACGTTCTTACAAAGAGAAAAGAGAAGCTGTAGGGTTCTGTAAGCCTTCCTTCATTGGGAAACCAAACTAAAAATGTGCCTGTGATTGTGTTTACGTTTCTGTTACATACTTACCTGTGATCTTGGGTGTCCAGTTTGAGTTCTGAATTATTAATGTATGGATTAAAGAAGAGTTATTAATTAGAGGATAAAGCAGTATTCAAACCAACAAACGATAGGATGGCCAAACATCTATGGAAATGGTACATGTTGGATGCCATAATACCCCCATCTCCCACCTTTGTGATAAATGTTCTGATGCTGAGCTAATTATATAAAAGATGATACCATTGTTAACTTTTCAGACCCTGGTTTTGAGAGAAGTATAGGTGGCCACTGTGCTTTATTAGGATTGTGTTCATGTACACACTCAAGAGAACCGACAGCAGATGTTAAGATGATGTGCTCAGCTCAGTCAAGATGATAGAGCTGTCAATCACCCCAGTATAACTCTGGGTTCCTAAAAAGTTACCATATACTATTGTTTTCAATTTGTTTTTGAGTATGTCTCATTAAAAATCAGTTTGTTTAGGAAGGATTTCAGTTGTTTTAGCAACTTAGACTTTAGACTCAAGTAATTGATTTCTGTATGTACTAAACGCCATATTCTTTGTGTAGGCTGCCAGCAAAAGCAGGGTGTTGGGCTAAACAGATCTAGGATCTCTGGGCTAACCCATGGTGTATGGTTTTATCTGAACATAAATTTGAACTATAATACATATAGTAACCTATGCAACTTTGACTTTTATTACTATATTGCTTCCTGCTTTCTTTTTACATACTGTTTATTTTAATTAAGATGTACCATATTTCAGAGCAGGGATTGTCTTGCATATTTCTTCTGTAGTACATAATACTATGGAGCTACAATAGAGAAATAGACTTTGTTTGTCTAATGTCTATTAAGAACAATAAAATTACATCTCGCACATAAATGCTCACTCCCTGAGTGAAATTCAATAGGTTTTGTGTAATGGAAATTGCATAGATGACTTTATAAATTATTTCCCAGACTGTGTTATAAATTCAGGTTTAAACTTGTATCACACCTTCCTAAAGTCTGAAATTTGTTCCAAGTATTATAAAAAGTTTCCCAAATTAAATGGTCTTATTAAAGCAAATAAACCTATTATGCTTAATGTTAACATTGATGGTCTACTATGAGATGATGTTTGTATTTTCCTTATTAAACCTAGGTTTTACGAATAGATAATATAAAGATAAAGCTCAGTGCTTTAAAGGCAATCTTTGATCAACTAATGCTGTTTGGGATTGAACCATTTAAAGCCAAAAGAGGCAATGTCTCTCAAAGTGATGATGCACAGATTAGAATGGAGGAAGAAAGTGAAACAATAGAGAAGGAAGAAGACACTGCTATGATTACTGAACTCCTGCAGCTTCTTTCTGGTTTCTTAGACAGTGAGGTAAGAAATACTGTAAAACTTGCCATAGTTAAGTTTTAAAATGATTTTTGAAGAAGGATGCATGTGAATATTACATGATATGTAATAGAAATTAATAGTCTAATGTCAAAGTAGTTGTCCTAGAAAATGACCACAACTTTGTCACTGGTATGGACTAACATTACTCTTGAGCTGGCTTTGAGTTCTGTGCAGGTACAAATAGCTGAATGTAGAAAATTGGCAAAATAGAACATAGACTGTTATTATAAAGTATTAGTGAAAAATGCTGTGGTTGGTGTGTTGTGTGTATGTGATCACTTCTTTCTTCAGTTTTCAGAACTTAAGACAGAAGCTGCGGAAGGCATAGCCAAACTGATGTTCTCTGGGAGACTTATTAGTGCCAAGCTTCTTTCTCGTCTTATTTTGTTGTGGTATAATCCTATGACTGAAGACGATACTCGGCTTAGACACTGTCTAGGAGTTTTCTTCCCTTTATTTGCTTATGCAAATAGGTATGTCCCTTGTAAATTATTATATGAAAATATACATTGGTCTAGCAGCTTTAGGAACCATTTTCAAGATTGCACAAATGCAAATTAGACCTAAAGGTTTAGTTCAGCCTCATGCATATTACTTCTGAATGTACATAATCTCAACCCATGACTATTCAGAAGACTTTTCATTCATTCCCTTTTACCCTTGTGGCCTTCCACTTTTTTTTCTTTCCTAAGCCTATAATTGAAACTGTTCAAGATACTGAATAAAAGATTAATTTAAAAAGATGGGCTTTACTTATTTATGCTGTTGTGCGATACAGGTAGACTTTGAAGTGTCACTAAAAAGTAGCTAGCAGGAGTGCTTCAAAAGAATAATTGATGCCCGACAGATATTAAAGCAGCAGGGGGTGGTTGGCTGTGGTTTGGGTTTTGTTTTTGTTTTGCTTTTTAACCAAAGCGTACTCCAATCTAAATTCACAGCAGATGCAAAATCTCCTGTTTATTTTGGTAGTGGTCAAATGAGGTAGGGAGCTTGTGTTAAGGGGATAGGAGCTTACATAGTAATTCTCATCTCCTTTCACTTGCTCAAAATAAAAAAATGTTTAACTTCTCAGTTGCTGCTAGTGGTTTTAGCCAGTCAGAACTAGCTGAGTTTTTATCTACTTATTTTTTTATAGGTAAGATTTGTTAGGCATATTTTATATTACCTTTTCTATTTTTCCAAACCAAATTGAATTACATTTTTTTGGCTTATAAATTGCCATATTAAAAGGAGAAATTCAAAGGGGAGTTGGTTTGTAGAGGAAAACCAACCCAAACAAATGTGTTTTTGCTGTTGTCAGGAAACAAGAGAGACAAATATCCAGTCTCCTCCAGAATGGGGTTTTCCCTACTTAAATTCTTTTGAAAATAAATAATGGAAAAACTAATTTAATGTTTCTGGTATCTCTGATATTAAGTATTGACTTTGAACTTTTAACTTTTTTGATAATCTTCTACCTGTGAATGTCATCTTCTGACCTGTGCATCTCCAATATTTATTTTTTTTTTTTTAGTTATGAGTCATAATGATTGCCCACTGGACTAATTCTATGTATTTCAAAGTCATCTGCAAATGAGGCAACTCATTCTGGCACCTCATAGATCTCTTTTTTGAAAATAAAAACATGGCATATGCTTTAAGCAAAAATCAGAAAAATCAGGGGAGAAAAGAATCTTGAGTCTTAGTTTGGGTCACTGACTCTTTGGAATCTCTGTTTAGTTAGGAAACCTTATTACTTTTCTGTCTTAAAACATCTGTGTTCTGCATCACAAATGAGTGATTTTTAAGATGAATCATGGAGTGTCTTTGGTTACTAATTTTGGATTTTCAGAAGAGAATTATTAATTACTGTGTGTAATTCAGAACTGTCTGCAAAGTTGCCATTCAGAAGAGGAAAACTCAAGTAATGAATGAGATTTGACTGAGGTTCATACTTAATTTTGGTACTGATCTCTCACTGATTTTAAAATTCCATTTGTTTCTGGGCGCTGCTCTGTTAACCTCTCCATCTAGTTACAAAAATAATGAAGAGGCTTACTTTCTGAAATTAAATATTTGAGCTCTGTGTGAGGGGGAAGAAAAAGTTGATGCTGACTTCTATAAATATTCTGTCATGTCACTAGAGTGGCATGGTATGCTAATAACAGGGACAGGATCCTGTAACCAGTGAACAATTCTTACTCATGGAATGTTTTCTGAAGAGTAATAAACTCTAGCAGCCTAAGAGAAGAAAGTTCTGCCTTGTGCCTATATGCTACTAGACTTTTTTAATTTACAGGAAAGATTCTGAATGATAATTCAGTTATGCTTGAGCCAATCTAAAGCCTTAAAGCTGCTGAAAGGGAGAATTCTTGCTTCCATTATTTCTTGCTCCAGTTTTGGTGTTCAAAAGGTCTTTTGGTCAGCTGATTTGGCTCAATAACCCAGCAGCAAACAGTCTGCTTTTTTGAAATGATTTACCTAGTTTCTTCCTGTAGTTATTGGGTTTCAAATAGGAGGTTAACAAGTAGCAGAAACAAAAAAGGCTTCACTTCACCAACCTACTACCTTGTACTTTTTGACACCTTATGTTTTAAATTGTTTTGACCTATCTTAAGGAATTTTTAGACAACTTGCTGCAGAACCAAGTGCAACATGATTTTTAGGCTTGCTTGGCAGGAGTTATTATCTCTTCTGAGAAAAGAAAGCACAAGTATTTCTTCCAAAAATCTTGTTAACTACTGCATTTTTGTGCCAAGCTTCCTTGCATTCTTACACAATGAAAAGTATCCCCAAACAAAAATGCTAGCAGGAAGGAGGAATGAGTAGAAGACAGGTTAATCTAAAGAAAAGATTTAGAGAAATATATTTCTGTCCCTTCAGAGAGAATATGTCTGTATGTATCAGGCTTTCAGTAGTAAGGATGAATTTTCAAAACTGTTCAGAGACAGGAAGTGTTACGTAAAATTTACTTGAAATACCATGTACTAAAACTTAAAAGAAACTTGTTCTGTGAAGCAGTTTTGATATCTTGATCCTGTTGGCTGTCTCTACCAAGGTTGGCTGCTCCCACTTTGCTTTGATTGATGTATTGTAATGGGTCTGTGAACTGTCATCATGGCAGAGAAAACTTAAGGGTGAAGGAAGGTTTAATTTTGTCTCCTTATGCTACTACTGTTTGACTGAATTGAAACAGGTCTAACCAGGAATGCTTTGAAGAAGCTTATCTTCCAACTCTGCGAACACTGTTCAACGCTCCTGCAACTTCACCTTTGGCTGAAATAGATATCAGTAATGTTTCTGAACTGTTAGTGGACCTGACCAGACCAAGTGGACTAAAACCTCAGTCTAAAAAGTTTCAGGGCTATCAGGTACAGTGTGTTAAACTGGAAGAAAGTAATATTTGTGTCTAGAGGTTAAGAACTGATCCCCTTCACCTACTGCTAGTTGTCTGGGCCTCTTTGAGATTCCTAGTGTCAGAAGCTGGATTAAATGAGTGACTGAAATACTTTAGCTTGACCACCCCCCACACCCGCTGATTTCCTCTCTTTTACAGTTAAAACATGATAATAGGAACTTGAACCATAGCTAATTGTCTATATTGGGAAAAGTATTTATAAAAATCAGTTGGTGCTCAAAGTACTGCATTTTAGGAAAATGTTTACTCTGTAAAATTAGTCATTAGCTGCTTAATTCAGAATGATCTCATTGCTGTCTTTTGTAAATAGTTCCCAGCAAAATTTCTTTCCTTTACAGGACTCAACAGTGCATGACAACTTAGCAATGAAAATTTGCAATGAAATCTTGATGGACCCAACTGCACCAGATGTTCGTATTTATTCAAAAGCTTTAAATTTACTAGAACTCAGTAGTTCTTCCACGAAGGATCTTCTGGTTCTGCTCAATGAGATTCTAGAGGTAGTACATAAATAACAAAGTTATTTCTTTTTTAATCATAAGCAATCTAATATTCTGATATGCTTAAAAATGAAGTGCCTTTTGTTTACTATGACAGTGTGCCTGGATTTTCTCTTCTTTTAAGCAGCCTTTGAAAATTAATTTATGATGAGTCATTTACAAAAATTTGAGCTGGTATTGCTATATAATTCACATATTTCAGCTACCATACGTTGTAAAATTGATGTGAAACAGTGTGGCTGACTTGATACATTTCAGTACACAAAGTTCTGATAACTGTGGTGTGGTTAATTTTTTTAAACATTAAAATAAAATTCAATATTAAGTCTTCTACAGTTTGGATGGCTATTTTTAGTTAATAATTAGCAGCTGAAATTTTACACCTAAATTTACCATGTAACTAAGATCATTAGGCAACATGAAAAAAGGTGCTTGATTTCAGATGAAGTGCTAAGGGATTACAAGAGTGATGTGAAAGTTTTTACACTGACGCTTTTGTTAATACGGAGAGAAAAAAAAAAGTAAAATTTGGGACTGTGACAGAGGAAGACAATGGTATATAGAAATGTTGAAAAGAATGCTGATCCACTATGGGCATGTCATCTAAAGGTAGCTATGCTCCAGGACTCAGCTGGAAAGGTCCAGTTGCTTTAATGTCTTTTAGGTTTCCTTTTTTTTTTTTAAAAAAAAAAAGAAAAAAGGAGTATTTAGTCTTTCAGTGCCTGGTGTTGATGGAGAAAGTGTTTCTCCTTTCAACTTGACTGGTCATCTTCATGTTATATGTATCCTTTGTGCAGTAAATTTAACTAATCCCATTAGTGGGTAAATTTAGTGGATAAAAGAAATAATTGTAACATGTAATAGCATTTAACATTAACTGTCTCTTCTCCAGAAAGTGAAAGATAGACTGTGTCAAAGAGCTATTGAGAAGATCAAGATGAACTTGACCAAAGATCGTGATGTGGGCAAAGACCACTCTGAAGGGACACGGGAAACTGACGTCACATTATTTGAAAATACTATTCAAAACAAAGAAGGTAATTCAGGAGAGGTGTAGTTTAGTAGTAGGTGTACAACTAAGTGACTTGTTTAGATGTTATCAAACAAGCTTTAGTTTTTGCCCATTAAAATAATCTACTTTTTGGAAAAATGGGAAAAGGTGACATCTAGTCAATATGCCTACAGTTTAAAATATTTGTACTGAAGTTTTTTAAATTTTTTAGTACTTTTTCATTTAATTCTGTGTGTTCTTATTCTCTGTATTATTCTAGTATAACCAGTGCTGTACTTTGAGTCTTAAGTTCTGCCCTGCAGCTTTCTCTGTTAAAAAGACAGTATTAAAATGTTGTGGGTGTTTTTTTTTTTTTTTTTTTTTTTTGTTTGTTTAGCTGTTTGGTGCACTTGTGTGCCTGCTAAATACTAGTGCTGACTAACTGATCTTAAGAATGTGCCTTGCTTATTTGGAGGAAGAAACAAGTACCTCCTAGGATTTTCAGACTTTGGAGTTACCATGCTTGTGCTTCTCGCAGGCTGTATCACAGCAGTATATCATTGATATCTTCAGTGTTGTCGCTGCTCTGTCCTTGTTACAAGCTCATGTGTTGGAGCCAGGTTTGTTTTTATTGCTATTTAAGAGTTTGAAGTGGAAGTAGCTGGAAGACTCTCCACTGCCTGCCCAGTTGATGCAGCTGCATGTGCCTTAACAGAGTATGTTGTGCTGGTGGCACAGAAAGTCTAACATTTTTCAGCAGAAGAGTAATTGGATGAAACTTGTTTAGGTTTGCTTGCAGCAGTAGATATACTGACGTGCAACAATTTTAAGCTGATCATGTTTTCTTTTAACCTTTCTTTCAATTATTTGGTTATATTTTCTAGTGGATTATTTCAGGGCTTTAATCTGTTGTTTCTGGAAGTGTCAAATACTTTAACTTCTTATATCTTCTATGCTTATGTCTTCAAATATTTTTTTGGATAGGAATTTGGAAGTATGCTTTTGAGAAAATAGTATTGTTTTCTGCTAACATCTGATAATACTTTTTCATATGAATTCCTCATGAAAGAGAGGAACTATTGAGTACTTTTAAAAAGCAGGCTGTAGGAGAAAAGCATTGTTTCCTTCCCCTCTCCTACTGCTCCCCTAACGCATTTGGGATCATTAAAAATAATGCAGCATTTACTACTTCAAATTTGTGACGGCTGTGAGCAGAAAGGGCAACAGACACTATTTTTGTCCTTCAATTGCTGCAAGGGAGATTTAGATTTGACATTAGGAAAAAACTTCCTAGCTATAACAGAGGTTGCTGAAGAAAGAAATTTCCTAAAATTTTTAGGAATTTTAAGACTAGAATAGAATGTTTCCATTGGAAAGGATCTACAAGGATCGTTAGTCCAGCTGTCTGACCACTTCAGGGCTGAACAGAAGTTAAAGCATATTATTAAGGGTGTTGTCCTTAATTGCCTCTTAAACACTGACAGGCTTGGGGCATCAGCCACCCTCTAGGAAGCCTGTGCCAGTGTTTGATCATCCCCTTGGTAAAGAAATGCTTCCTAATGGCCAGCCTAAACCTCCCCCAGTGCAGCTTTGAACCATTCCCACGTGTCCTGTCACTGGATCCCAGGGAGAAGAGCTCAGCATCTCCCTCTCCACGTCCCCTCCTCAGGGAGCTGCGGAGAGCAAGGAGGTCAGCCCTCAGCCTCCTTTTCTCCAAACTAGACAAGCCCAGAGTCCTCAGCCGCTCCTCACAGGACATGCCTTCCAGCCTGTCACCAGCTTTGTTCCCCTCCTCTGGACACATTCGAGTACCTGAACATCCTTCTTAAACTGTGGGGCCCAGAGCTGCACGCAGCACTGCAGGTGAGGCCGCACCAGCGCTGAGCACAGCAGGACAATCCCCCCTTTTGCCCGGCTGGTTGTGCTGGGTTTGACGCACCCCAGGATGGGGTTTGCCCTCTGGGTTACCAGGGCACGCTGCTGGCTCGCATGGAGCCTGCAGCCCACCAGCCCCCCCAGATCCTTCCTGCAGGGCTGCTCGCCAGCCACTCCTCTCCCAGTTTATACCTGTGGCGGTGTTATTCCATCCCAGGTGCAGAATCTGGCACTTGGACTTGTTAAATTTCATGCCACCGATGACTGCCCGATGCTCCAACCTATAGATCCTGCTGCTAGGCTTCTTGTCCCTCAGAGTCAACAGCAGCTCCCAGTTTGGTATCATCAGGAAATTTGCTAATGGTGCATTCAGTTCTTGCGTCAAGATTGTTGATAAAAATATTGAACAGAACTGGCCCTAGAATTGACCACTGAGGAGCACTGCTGGTGACTGGTGGCCAGCCAGATGTAGCCCCATTCACTGCAACCCTTTGAGCTCTGCCCTTCAGGCAGTTCTTCACCCAGCACACCGTGAGCTGGCTCATCCTGCAGTTGCACACCTTGTCCAGAAGGCTGCTGTGAGGGACAGTATCAAAAGCTTTACTAAAATCCAGGAAAACTACATCTACCACCTTCCCTTCATCCACTGGGCGGGTGACCTTATCATAGAAGGACATCGAATTAGTTAAACAATGCTTTCCCTTTGTGAACTCATGTTGCTTGTGTCTGATGACTGCGGTAATCTTTAAATGCCTTTCAATACCAACTATAATCTTCTCCATAATTTTTCCAGGAACTGAGGTTAGGCAAAGAGGTCTGTAGCTTAGCTCCCTGAGTTTTCCCTCATGTCCTCGTAAACTGGAATAACATTGGGTAGCTTCCAGTCAGTGGGGATCTCTCTAGAGTCCCAAGACCTTTGGTAGATGATTGAGAAGGGTCTTACTGTAACATCTACTAGCTCTTTTGGTACTCTGGGATGAATCCCCTCAGGCCCCATGGACTTACAGTCATAGAATCATTCAGGTTGGAAAACACCCTTAAGATCATAGAGTCTAACCGTAAACGTAACATTGCCAAGTCCACCACTAAACCATGTCCCTAAGTGCCACATCTTAAGTCTCCAGATACCTCTCTTAAGTACCTCCAGGGATGGTGATTCAACCACTTCCCTGGGCAGCCTGTTCCAATGCTTGATAACCCTTCTGGTGAAGAAACTTTTCCTAATATCCAATCTAAACCTCCGCTGGTACAACTTGAGGCCATTCCCTCTTGTCCTATCACTTGCTACTTGGGGAAAAGAGACTAACGTCCACCTCCCTACAACCTCCTTTCAGGTAGTTGTAGAGAGCGATAAGGTCTCTCCTCAGTCTCCTTTTCTCCAGACTAAACAACCCCAGTTCCTTCAGCTGCTCCTCATAGGACTTTTTCTCTAGACCCTTCACCAGCTTTATTGCCCTTCTTTGGACACGCTCCAGCACCTCAGTATCTGTCTTGTTGTGAGGGGCCCAAAACTGAGCACAGTGTTCCAGGTGCAGCCTCACCAGTGCCGAGTACAGGGGGACGATCACTTCCCTGGTCCTGCTGGCCACACTCTTTCTGATACAAGCCAGGATGCTACTGGCCACTTTGGCCACCTGGGCACATTGCGGGCTCATGTTCCACTTACGGGTGTTCAGCTGATACAGCTGGTCCCTTTCAATTTCAGTGTCCTCAAATGGAAAGTCACTGATCCCACACTCATGGTCCTCCGACTCAGAGGACCAGACAGCTTGAGGTCCATCAATATTACTAAAGACTGAGGCAAAAAGCACTGAACACATCTGCTTCTTCTTCGTTCCCTATTAGTACAGGTGACCATCTTCAACAAATATCAGTCCAATGTTTTCTCTAGACCTGCTCTTGCTATTAAGGTACTTAAAAGAAACCCTTCTTAGTATCTGACACAATAGTGGTCAGCTTCAACTCTAATTGAGCGTTGGCCTCTTGTGCCTTCTCCCTGCGTATATGAACAGCTCCGTGTTCTTCCTGCAAAGCCTGACCGTGCTGCCAGAGATCATACAATTTCTTTTTCCTTGAGCTCCGTGAAGAGTTCCCTGTGCAGCCAGGCTGCTCTTCCACTCCACTTGCTTGACTTACAACACAGTGGAAGGGGCAAAACAATTGTCGGGAATAGCTTACCTGTGACTAACCTGTGTTGGGGCAGGGTTATAGCTGGGTGACATTTTAAGCTTCCATGTGGCCTTATTTCTAGTTTAAGGAAAAATGGGGTTAAAATTCTGTAGCTTTTTTATATAACAGCCGAAATGTAAAATACTGGTAGTTAGGATAACTTAGAAGTTGATTATCTATGATTTGTGTGTGTGCTATTCTGTTTAACAGAAAATAATGAAGGTCTTCTTCGTACTCCAGTTACTGAAGTTAAAAGTAATACAACTGCAAAATTGAAATCCATGAGAAGCAAAGCTGGCAAAGGTATGCATGAGCTTTTTCTGGCTACAATCCTCATTGCTTTTAATAAAATAATTTCATACTAATTTTTTGTGAACATAAAGATAGAAAAACCATTCAGTCTTCATACTCAGTTGTAGTTTTTAAAATTTTATTTGTTAAAAGGTTAAAATAGTCTGTTTTGTGGAATTTTTTGTCCTGTTAGCATCTCCCAACAGCACAGATTTAAAAAAAAAACAAAAAATCCCTAGTCCGACTACAGGATTTCAAGGTAACTTGGCCGCAGTCATTTACAGTAACGTACAGGTGTTTATGGGGGAAGTGGTATGTTGCGGATTTTTTGTTGTTGGTTTTGTTTTGTCACCACATTCTAGCCGTGGTGACTGCACATTTAGATGTTTCAGTGCAATATCTAACACTGAAGAAAGATACAAAACTAGTTTAAGAAAAGAAATGCTACCATGATATGAAAAGAGGCTTCTGCTTCTACGTAGGACAACGGAAAGCGGCAGCAGAAGTGAGGTCTGTGAGCAGAAGAAAAACTGGCACAACTGTAAAACGCAGTAGTGAAAGGTAAATCCTTTTCTCTCCACCATTCAAATCATGCTTGTTCTAGCAAGGAAACTTAATTCAATTAATTTTCTTTCCCAAAACTTGCATCTTTAATATCCTCTATTCCTGATATGCAGACAAATATTTAAGAAAATAAATTTCTTTGAACTGGTACTTTTGAAACAATAGCAGGGTTGATAGCTTCACATTTTATTATCATTGCCTAAGAACTTGTAATTCTTTTCTTTGTTTTTCTTTTTTTTCTTTACACTATATTTTTGTGCATAGAGTTATCACATTCTAGCCAACAGAACTTAGATTTTTGGCTTACATTATTACCTTTCTTCCAATCACTTTTTCTGCTTTTTTAATAACTGTTCTGCAGAATAATATTTTTTTTTTATTTTTTTATTTAAATTCTTTTTTCCCCAACTCTACATTTTTGTTGCCTGCTTTTCAACATATAGTTGATAAGCTTCTAGAACTGACTGGTAAGTGAATATATACAATGCATTCCTTCCCTTATGATCTTACAGGATATAAGCATTAAAATGACATTATCTTTGTAATTTTCAGCTGTGCTCACTCTTTCTCAAAGACTTTAGGGTGACCAGGGTCAGTCATTCCTGTTTGCTTGTTCCGTGTGTTTCCTTTGATACCACCTACTCTTGGGAGTTTTGCTTATTTAGCAACTGCTAATTCTTGGTTATCTTTACTGCTGTATCGTTTGGAAAATTTTACTATATACTTCTCAAAAAATAAAAAGTTTACAATTAGTAAGAAGTACTTTTGCTCTTTAAGGACCATACTGCAAGTTTGTTAATATAAAAATTCTTCATTTGCTTAGTCTTTTTGGCCTTACTTTAAAATATTTTACATTTCAGTGACGATGAAATTGCAGAATCGATCCCAGTGTCAAGTACAAGGCCTTCAAGGCGAGCAAAAACAGCGGCAATTGAAAAAACAAGAATGAATCTTTCAGAACTTTTGGATAGGGAAGCAGATCAGTGAAGACAAAAGGAGAGAAGTGTCCTTTGCTAATGCTGGTAGTTAACATCAGACTTGAAAAATAAGATTTGTTTTGTTGTTAGTCATATTTAACTCTAGGAGCTTTAACTTGTTTTTAAAATAGATGCTTTTGATGATTTTCCTGATACGAAGTCCAATATCCATGTAATAAAAACATATTAAAATATTACCTAAACAGAACATGGATTTTTTTTTTTTTTTTTTTTTTTTTTTACTTTATGGAGAAGAATGCTTTTTATCTACAAGTAAAAATTGCTGTTGGTGGTAGGTACTTCATAGTTAATGCTGTTTTGATATTTAACATTATTCAGAGGGAATGTTTGACCTGGAGTGGTTGCTTGTGGTGGCAGCAATTTTGAATGTACCTACCTCTAATGCACCCACTTTTTTCATTTATTAGCATGTGCACCTGCTGACCAGATTTTATTGCTTGTGTTAGCATTAAATAGAATTAATCTTAATTGTGAATTTTGCTTCCTGCAGGTATGTGTCCACTTTATTTAAAATAATGTCAAAATGGTAAAACGGATTTACTTATTTTATAAACCTAAGCCGAAAGTCTGCTACTGATCTTGACCTTGTTATGTAAAATCTGTGATTTTCTTTTTGAAAAGCATCAAAATATTTATGGTACAAAATAAGATCCAATAAGGAAAGAAAAACTTTTGAGAAAGGGCAAAAGAGGAAATACTTTGAGGTCTGTGTGCTGTCTTTTTGAAGTGGCATACAATTGTGATTGCTTTGTAGTTTTGACGTTCACAAACCTTCTTCTGAGGACATGTCTAGAAATAGTCGTGAGTTTTACAGAGACAGTAGATGATTAACTTTAAACTGCATGTAGGAGTCGCTGGTGGCTGAGCAGATTTACTCTGGAAGTGCTAGTTTTTTGGTTTGGAAACACTGTCAGTCATGTCTGTCTTGGTTACAAGATAGGTAATGTCCAAGGCAGTCAGAGAAAACTCATGTCGATTGCTTGGTATGAGCATCTCAACTACTGATGCCGAAGGGAGCTTTCGAAGGAACTTGCGTTTAAAATAGGTAAATATACTGTAAATGATCTTTGGTAATTCTCAGAAATGGCTTAGGGACACAAGTGAAAAGCAGTGCTCTCAGAGTGTAATGCCGAAACTATTATGCTATTTTCAAGCTTGCATATAGAAAACAGGCAGGATTGTGTTGCTTTTCCTCCCTTTCAGTTTTTGTTGGAAACTTGTCAAACCACAAAATGCCATGACACACTTTTCTGCTGATATTTGCTATTCAGAAGCTTATGTAACTGAATTATTTTTATTCATCTTCTTAAACTGAACTTTGAAGTCCTGAGCTCCCTCTTTTGAGAATTCTTTTCTTCAAATCCCCAACTTTGTTCTAGCATGAGCGTGTGCTCATGCAACCACTCGAGATCAGTGTCTGTCCCCTCGAATGCTGCCTGAATGTAGTTCAAAAGGGTGAAGGATACACTTCAGTTTTTTTCAGCTGATTTTCAGAGCTTTCCTTGTGCTTTAAAGTTTAGGTGTGTGGTTTTTTTTTTTTTATTACTCCAGTTAAAAGTTCTCTCTCACCCTCACTCTCGAGTGGTTTGCTTTTCTGCCACTAATACACTTTCAACAACTTCTGCTCATCCACTCTTATTGTTGGTTAAAATTAATTTCTAGGGAAGGCAGGAGCAATAAAAATTTATAAAGGCTTCTCTGAATGCCTTCCTGAATAAATTGGAGACCTTCAGTTTTGCCTTCTTGCTGTTCTGTCGTGCCTTGCCACACGTGCAGGTTCTGTCTCTGGCGGCTCTGGGGAATGCTGCACTGGAAAGATCAGGTTTCCCTGAAGTCACCTCTCAAGGGGCAGATGCCTGTGCTAGGGGTGCCTGCTAAGGGGAGCCAGAGGTTGACAAACTGGAGTGAGTTCAGTGGAGGCCCCCGGGCTGGTCAGGGACTGGGAGCTGGGCTGGTTCAGCCTGTGGGCGTTGGGAGGAGCCCCGGTTTATCTACAAGGAGTCTGTTGAAGAGATGTAACCAGGCTCTTTGTTCCAGATGATGGGAAGACAAAAACCAGTGGGCCTAAGTTGAAACTCAGACCAGAATATAAGGGGAAAAAGGCAGTGGAGCGGGTTGAGAACAGTTGGAAGAGGTTGCCTGCAGGGGCTGTGCAGGCTCTAGCCTAGGAGGTTTTTAAGACCTGACCACAACCTGCTCTGACCTCCCAGCTGGCTGGTGTGGGAGCAGCCTCCTGAGGTCCTGCTGTGCCCGAATTACCCTGTGATCTTCTGTCAGGCTAGAAACTTGACCAGCAACTGGCACATCATTCCCAGCCCCTCTGGGCTCTTCCCCTCCCTGCTCCCTGTCAAGGGAAGGGTTTTCTGTGCACCAGAAAGTTTGGTATGCTTTTGCAAAATTACTTCATCTTTTGAGGAGGGGGTGGCTGCTTGATTGCAGGGTAGGATAATCAGATGTGTGTTGTATTTTTCAAGATGATTATTAGCAATAATCAAGGTTTAAATGTATGCAGCTGACTTTCTGAGAAAGCTGCATGGGGTAGCAATAAAATACATTCAAAGGTGGTAAGGAGCCAAATCTGGAAGTATCTTACTACCTGTAGTGAAAAAATCTTGACTCAGTATGCATTACTCTTTCTAGCTAAAATAATGTTGCCAATTTTTATTTACTTTAATTCTATGGGTTGAAAGTACTTAACTTCCTGGCTGCTTAATTAAGGAATAAAATTTGAATACTCTAATTGACTTAACAATAGCCTCTTTGCTGCTCTGAACCAATTACTGTGCATCCTCTCTTTGCTGGCTAAACACAACAGGGTATCAAACATGAGCCACAGGAGACCTAGACTCGAATCCATATTAAATAATGGTAAAATAGCAGTCGCCATTTGTTGTCAAACTTCAAATGATCCCATGTTTATTTCTACGCTAGTTGTTGTTTCTTAAAACCAGTTTTGTGATTGTTTTTGTTTCCTTGTCTAATCAGTCTCTTCTGACTGCATGCTAAAAGACTTTCGCTTCATAACAGTCTCATTTGGCTGGGCTCTATCTCAACATGAAGGGTGGATGCTGCACCAAGAACATTTATTTTTCTCGTTTTGTTTTTTATTGTCTGACTTAATGAAGTGGCTAGTGAGCTTGGGTTGTGCCTGTATCTGACTCCCATCTGAAAACTTCCGAGCTCATCAGCCAACTGAAGCTCACTGTGACACAAAGGAAGGGATCATAATTCTTAGAAGTTGATGAAAACAGCTGCTTGCAGGTGAGATGTGTCTGTAACAGCTTCTGGTATTTACCTGGTCTCTGAAATGAGACAATTCACATGGCATCTTGTCCTTACGGACACACAAACAAGATACTGGCTGCATTAGTTCCACTGCTTGTAAGACTGTTTTTATGTCCCTCTTTGGAGAGCCCTGACTCCTTAGCACTCCTTGTGCTTTGGTGGGGCTCCACTGAACTCCACTTCAGTGCCTCTGCGCCAGGAAGTTCGATTCTCTTTCTGATTTTCTTGCCCCACAGAATCCAAGTGCATTAAATAGTTGAGCTACAGAAGGGCCCCCCAGCCAGGGTGCTGTGATGATGAATGCTCATTCCTCCAGCTGTGTTCTGCAGTGTCTGACGCTTCAGTGACTCAGTATCCCGGTGGGATATCTTGTGTGACTGACTTACCGGAATTCACAGCAATCATGTTATCTCAGTTACTGGATTATACCTGCAAACCTGCAAGCTTCTGTAAAGAAGAACTGCATCTCCACTTCAAGTGAATCCTTAAGACCTTTGTTTTATAAAATACAGTATCTTCCAAGGAAACTTTTTTTCTGGAAAATTAGTTCTTGGCAAGTAAAGGATAGACAACTTAGAAGTTGAATTAAGAAGCCTCTACTCTAGCTACTGAATGTATGGCTCCAGAAAAGAGAAATATATTATATGGTTTATTCTAACACTTTTGTTATAGCTTTATTAATAAAGTTTTGATGAATGAAGTACATGAACCTTGCTAAAGCTGACCTAAGCATCCAAAGTCTACAATGTAGCTAGCTCCAACCATTTACTAGTACTTTGAGTAGAGTTGAAAATTTTGATGTTTGCATTGAATTTCCAAAGTACGCGGGGGAAAAAAATGAAATAGGAAGAGCATTTACATCCATTTTAATTGGTGGCAGGCATAAATTCATAAAACAAAAGGGGAAGAAAGACCATTAAGCAGAAACCTCAAAAAGTGCAGATACAGATTTGCTGAACGACAATCTTTCAAGAGATTCTCCTGCAGCCTTGGCCTTTCTTTTAGACATTACAGTCATTAAACACTGTCACACAGAAGTTCTCAAGATAAATGAAGATGAAAGCATACTGCAGAAACAAACGGGTTGGTTGATACATTTCAATCTGTTAGCGAAGGAGAGATCCTCAGATAATTTACCTTTTCTTTTTGCTGCTTTGCTTCGAGGTAGTTGGTCTCCACCTGTTACAGATTTGTTTGAATTGTCATTACGATAAATCTTTACATGGTGACCTATGCCACAAATTACATAATATATTAACTTTCGTGCACAAAAATAAAATCGGGAAATAATAATTAAACTTAAAGAACATCGAAAAATCACAATACTATTGAAGGGGAACATCGGATTCTGATATAAATTTGTACTGCAAGAATTTCATGATGGTCAGATGTGAAACTTTATATTTAAAAAAAGAAAAAGTACATCAAAATGAATAATGCTAGTAGTAATATGAAGCCAAATCACACAAGATCATTTCAAGATCAATGTAAGAAGTGCTTATTATTCGGCAGAAAAAAAAAAATCAGGAACAATGTACAAAATAATAGTGCAAGAACAGCTGCAAATCTATTTGTTCTCATCAGTTTTGAGATTTTGGTTAAAAACTTTACAGCTGGCGAGAGATGCTGCTGAAAAGCTCAGATTCCACTCAGTGGGCTGATTAAGGCACATCTTTATGGACTTCAAATGTTCATTTTCTGTGTTCACGTCTATTGAATTCTGCGGCTCCGAGACTTTCACTTGTAGTGTGCTGTGAGAAAAGAAGTGGGGGTGGGAGAAGGGAAAAAAATGAGAAAAAGTTAAGTACGCTTTCCTCTTCCCCTGCAAACAAGCAAACTGCTAAGAAGCAAGATGAGGTGGTGGCAGATTGCGTTGTGCTGTTGGGGTAATTTTTTATTTATTTATTTATTTATTTAAAATTTTTGCACTGTTTTACTGCACTATGTTCCAGAAACACTGAGATCAGAACCTGACTATGCTGCACTTGCCAGGTAACAGCAGCTCGGGCTTGTTGGCGTTGCAATAGCTGAGGTCCTGGCCGAGGCCAGGCGGGGGTGGTGCTGCGGGGGGCTGCTGCACCGTAGCACAGGAACTGAGGGGGAATTGGGGGTTGGGTTCTTCTGCTGACATTGTTAATTTAGTACAGCCATGAAAGGACTTGTATAGAGACAGGTTTTATTTTGTTTCAAAACTAGGAAAATAAGGACTACGAAGAAGAAAAATGAGCCCTGCCCTTTGTGGGGATCACTAAGCAGACTAGGACGTGTGGATTGAATCATACTCTCACTGTTGCCATACAGGATCACAGAACGGAATTATAGAATGGTTTGAGTTGGAAAGGACCTTTAAAGGTCACCTAGTCCACTCTCTGGCCATGAGCAGGGACACCTCTGATTAGATCAGGTTGTTCAGAGCCCCGTCCAACTTGACCTCGAATGTTTCCAGGGATGGGGATCCACCACCTCTTTGGGCAACCTGCGCCAGTGTTCCACCGCCCTCCTTGTAAAAAAATTTCTTCCTTAATATATAAAGCACTGTCATTGTGCACATTCAGAAGACAAGAAGGTAGAGTTTAGAAATCCTAATTTCAAACCTTTCCAACTCTACTATTTTGTTTTTTTACAGCCTACCTCCTGCAGCGATGTGTCCTATGTGCAATTGTTTCTCACCATCCTTATCAAAGATTGCAAGAATGACACACAATTGGAAATATTGCTAATTGCTGAAATACTAAAAATAAAGTTCTGTGTGTTGCAACTAAGGGCAGGAGGTAATGATCATGCTATAAATAGCTGCATAACTTCTATCAAAGGGGTGTTTAAGCAGCAAGAATATCTCTTATTGGATCTTGCTGCATTTCAGAAAATGAGGTCCTTCATAGGACTTAGGTGCAAATTATCAATCTTGATAATCACATTGAATCTGCAGATGTATAGTGGTCACATGGGTGTACAGCCTAGCTGAGGACATTCAGTAATTATAAGACTATAACCTAAACCATCTTAGCGTGTGTTACTCAAATACTGTTGTCTGACTTGGATTAATCTTGTTCCTGCATCATGGCAAGAGGGAAAGACGGCTTGTGTAGCAGCTAAGGTGACAATTCATTGTTATTTTTCACAGATAACCTGAAACACAATTTTAATTCTTCTACGCTTTTCTGCAGGCTCTCTAGCAGGCTGTGTGCCTTTCAGGCATGGTAGTGAAACAGACATTTCTACTGTACTAACTCTAGTTCCTAACCCACTGTAATGAGATGCCCCCAAGCCCTGCATTTCCTTCTGCCTCAATCTCTTGTCTTGCTTTTGCCTTGTACCCTTTTCCTTCACTCTTCTGGTTTGCAGACACTCTTGTTGCTCTGATCTTTTCCTGCTGTAGGAAACAGAGAGTGCAAGCGTAGGTGACAGAGACGACTTCAGTCAGCAAGGTTACTTTCTTGAATATAC